CACTCATTGAAGAGGCTGTCTTTTCTCCATTGTATATTCTTGTCTCTTTCATCAAAGATAAGGTGACCATATGTGCATGGGTTTTTCTCTGGGCTTTCTGTCCTGTTCCATTGATCTATATTTCTGTTTTTGTACAAGTACCATACTGTCTTCATTACTGTACTTTTGTAGTACAGTCTGAAGTTAGGGAGCCTGATTCCTCCAGCTCCGTTTTTCTTTCTCAAGATTGCTTTGGCCATTCGGGGTCTTTTGTGTTTCCATATAAATTGTGAAATTTTTTTTCTAGTTCTCTGAAAAATGCCATTGGTAGTTTGATAGAGATTGCATTGAATCTGTAGATTGCTTCGGGTAGTGTAGTCATTTTCACAATGTTGATTCTACCAATCCAAGAACATGGTATATCTCTCCATCTGTTTGTATCATCTTTAATTTCTTTCATCAGTTTCTTATAGTTTTCTGCATACAGGTCTTTTGTCTCCTTAGGTAGATTTATTCCTAGGTATTTTATTTATTTTTGTTGCAATGGTAAATGGGAGTGTTTCCTTAATTTCTCTTTAAGATTTTTCATCATTACTGTACAAGAATGCAAGAGATTTCTGTGCATTAATTTTGTATCCTGCTACTTTGCCACATTCATTGATTACCTCTAGTAGTTTTCTGGTAGCATCTTTAGGATTCTATACGTATAATATCATGTCATCAGAAAACAGTGACAGCTTTACTTCTTTTCCAATTTGGATTCCTTTTATTTCTTTTTCTTCTCTGCTGTAGCTAAAACTTCCAAAACTATGTTGAATAATAGTGGTGAGAGTGGACAACCTTGTCTTGTTCTTGATCTTAGTGGAAATGGTTTCAGTTTTTCACCATTTAGAACAATGGTGGCTGTGGATTTGTCATATATGGCCTTTATGATGTTGAGGTAAGTTCCATCTATGCCTACTTTTTGGAGGGCTTTTATTGTAAATGGGTGTTGAATTTTGTGAAAAGCTCTTTCTGCATCTATTGAGATGATCATATGGTTTTTTCTCCTTCAGTTTGTAAATATGATTTATCACATGGATTGATTTGCATATATTGAAGAATCCTTGCATTCCTGGGATAAAACCCACTTGATCATGGTCTATGATCCTTTTAATGTGTTGTTGGATTCTGTTTGCTAGTATTTTGTTGAGAATTTTTGCATCTATATTCAATAATGATATTGGCCTGTAGTTTTCTTTCTTTGTGACATTTGTGTCTGGTTTTGGTATCAGGGTGATGGTGGCCTTGTGGAATGAGTTTGGGAGTGCTCCTCCCTCTGCTATATTTTGGAAGAGTTTGAAAAGAATAGGTGTTAGCTCTTCTCTAAATGTTTGATAGGATTCGCCTGACAAGCCATCTGATACTGGACTTTTGTTTGTTGGAAGACTTTTAGTCAGAGTCTCAATTTCAGTGCTTGTGATTGGTCTGTTTATATTTTCTATTTCTTCCTGCTTCAGTCTCGGGAGGTTGTGCTTTTCTAAGTATTTGTCCATTTCTTCCAGGTTGTCCATTTTATTGGCATATCATTGCTTGTAGCAATCTCTCATGATCCTTTGTATTTCTGCAGTTACAGTTGTTACTTCTCCTTTTTCATTTCTAATTCTATTGATTTGAGTTTCTACCTTTTTTTCTTGATGAGTCTGGCTAATGCTTTATCAATTTTGTTTATTTTCTTAAAGAACCAGCTTTTAGTTTTATTGATCTTTGCTATCATTTCCTTCATTTCTTTTTCATTTATTTCTGGTCTGATCTTTATGATTTCTTTCCTTCTGCTAACTTTGGGGGGTTTTTGTTCTTCTTTCTCTAACTGCTTTAGGTGTAAGGTTAGGTTGTTTATTTGAGATGTTTCTTGATGTAGGATTGTATTGCTGTAAACTTCCCTCTTAAAACTGCTTTTGCTGCATCTCATAGGTTTTGGGTCATCGTGTTTTCACTGTCATTTGCTTCTAGATGTTTTTTGATTTCCTCTTTGATTTCTTCAGTGATCTCTTGGTTATTCAGTAGTGTATTTAGTATTTAGTAGTAGCCTCCATGTCTTTGTATTTTTTACAGATTTTTTCCTGTAATTTATATCTAGTCTCATAGCGTTGTGGCCAGAAAAGATACTTGATATGATTTCAATTTTCTTAAATTTACCAAGGCTTGCTTTGTGACCCAAGATATGATCTATCCTGGAGAATGTTCCATGAGCACTTGAGAAGAAAGTTTATTCTGTTGTTTTTGGATGGAATGTCCTATAAATATCAATTAGGTCCATCTTGTTTAATGTATCATTTAAAGCTTGTGTTTCTTTATTTATTTTCATTTTGGATGATCTGTCCATTGGTGAAAGTGAGGTGTTAAAGTCCGCTGCTATGATTGTGTTACTGTCGATTTCCCCTTTTATGGCTGTTAGCATTTGCCTTATGTACTGAGGTGCTCATATTTTGGGTGCATAAATATGTACAATTGTTATATCTTCTTCTTGGATTGAACCCTTGATCATTATGTAGTGTCCTTCTTTGTCTCTTGTAATAGTCTTAGTTTTAAAGTGTATTTTGTCTGATATGAGAATTGCTACTCCAGCTTTCTTTTGATTTCCATTTGCATGGAATACCTTTTTCCATCCCCTCACTTTCAGTCTGTATGTGTCCCTAGGTCTGAAGTGGGTCTCTTGTAGACAGCATATATACAGGTCTTGTTTTTGTATCCATTCAGCCAGTCTATGTCTTTTGGTTGGAGCATTTAATCCATTTACATTTAAGGTAATTATGAATATGTGTGTTCCTATTACCATTTTCTTAATTGTTTTGGGTTTGTTATTGTAGGTCTTCTCCTTCTATTGTGTTTCCTACTTAGAGAAGTTCCTTTAGCATTTGTTGTAAAGCTGGTTTGGTGGTGCTGAATTCTCTTAGCTTTTACTTCTCTGTAAAGGTTTTAATTTCTCCGTCAAATCTGAATGAGATCCTTGCTGGGTAGAGTAATCTTGATTGTAGGTTTTTCCCTTTCATCACTTTAAATATGTCCTGCCACTCCCTTCTGGCTTGCAGAGTTTCTGCTGAAAGATCAGCTGTTAACCTTATGGGGATTCCCTTGTATGTTATTTGTTGTTTTTCCCTTGCTGCTTTTAATATTTTTTCTTTGTATTTAATTTTTGATAGTTTGATTAATATGTGTCTTGGCATGTTTCTCCTTGGATTTATCCTGTATGGGACTCTCTGCACTTCCTGGACTTGAGTGACTATTTTCTTTCCCATATTGTGGAAGTTTTCAACTATAATTTCTTCAAATATTTTCTCAGTCCCTTTCTGTTTCTCTTCTTCTGCGACCTCTATAATTCGAATGTTGTTGCATTTAATGTTGTCCCAGAGGTCTCTGAGACTCTCCTCAGTTCTTTTTGTTCTTTTTTCTTTATTCTGCTCTGCAGTAGTTATTTCCACTGTTTTATCTTCCAGGTCACTTATCCATTCTTCTGCCTCAGTTATTCTGCTATTGATTCCTTCTAGAGAATTTTTTAGTTCATTTATTATGTTGCTCATCATTGTTTGTTTGCTCTTTAGTTCTTCTAGGTCCTTGTTAAACGTTTCTTGTATTTTCTCCATTCTATTTCCAAGATTCTGGATCATCTTTACTACCATTAATCTGAATTCTTTTTCAGGTAGACTGCCTATTTCCTCTTTATTTGTTTGGTCTGGTGGGTTTTCACCTTGCTCCTTCATCTGCTGTGTGTTTCTCTGTCTTCTCATTTTTCTTAACTTACTGTGTTTGGGGTCTTCTTTTCACAGCCTGCAGGTTCGTAGTTCCTGTTGTTTTTCGCAGCTGCCCACTGTGGGTAAGGTTGGTTTAATGGGTTGTGTGGGCTTCCTGGTGGAGGGGACTGGTGCCTGTGTTCTGGTGGATGAGGCTGGATCTTGTCGTTCTGGTGGTGTTTTTTGGGGATGTCTGTGAACTCATTATGATTTTAGGCAGCCTCTCTGCTAATGGTTGGGGTTGTGTTCCTGTCTTGCTAGTTGTTTGGCGTAGAGTGTCCAGCACTGGAGCTTGCTAATTGTTGAGTGGAGCTTGGTCTTAGCGTTGAGGTTTAGATCTCTGGAAGAGCTTTCACCATTTGATATTATGTGGGGCTGGGAGGTCTCTGGTGGTCCAGTGTCCTGAACTCGGCTCTTCCATCTACTTGGCTCAGGCCTGACACGTGGACGGAGCACCGAGACCCTTTCAGCCACACGGCAGGCTCTTTATGGCCCTCGTCTTCCTTTCCTCAAGCCACCACACGTCAGCCACTTCTGCGCCCTCAGAGTTTCCCGGTGGCGCCCACTCACTGGATGATGAATGTTATTTTTAATATAACTAATGGAACTGAGACAGTTTGGGGTTTTTTTTTTGGTTTTTTTTTTTGCAGTACGTAGGCCTCTCCCGTTGTGGAGCACAGGCTCCGGACGCACAGGCTCAGCAGCCATGGCTCACGGGCCCAGCCGCTCTGCGGCATGTGGGATCCTCCCAGACCGGGGCACAAACCCGTGTCTGCTGCATCGGCAGGCGGACTCTCAACCATTGTGCCACCAGGGAAGCCCACTGAGACAGTTTTAAATGGACATTTTTATGTACTGTCCTAGGGTTACTCTGAGATGACTCTAGCCATTTCTTAAAAAGGATATTTCAGCTTGTAATTTCCTTTCTTCATTTGCTTCCTCTGGCATCTACTTTTCACTGTGAGCCAAAGGAAACTTTGCTTAGAATGAGTTTTTCTACTGCAATGTCATGCTGTCACAGATCATGCTCGCATCAGATATTAGAAGATTGTGGGAGGCACAAAGGATGAAGTCTGCTTTCCAGGTGCTGAAACAGGCTTTGCTTTTGCCAGCGCTGGTGGCCTGGCTCTATAGCTCAGTAGTCATTTTCAGGAGACAGAAGCAGTTTCCCCATTCTACCTATCCCCAGGAATCATGCAAAATTGAGAGATGCGCAGCTGATGAACTGTCTTTGATGTTGACTGTCTTTAGCGGCCATGTTCCTGTTGTGTGCGGTGAAAGTCCCCGAGGCCGTGTCTGATATGCTGACATCAGAGTTCCACCACCCGGAGACCGTGCAGCGGCTGAACGCTGTCCTTAAGTTCCACACGCTTTGGAGGTTTCGCTATCAGGTCTGGCCCCGGATGGAGGAGGGAGCACAGCAGATTTTTAAGGTGAGGTATACATACGCGGGCCTCTCACTGTTGCGGCCTCTCCCGTTGTGGAGCACAGGCTCCAGACGCACAGACCCAGTGGCCATGGCTCACGGGCCCAGCCGCTCCACGGCATGTGGGATCTTCCTGGACCGGGGCACGAACCCGCGTCCCGTGCATTGGCCGGCGGACTCCCAGCCACTGCGCCACCAGGGAAGCCCGAGATACTTCTTTTTTTCCCTCTCTGATTACATAAGTAAACCTGACTCATATATGAGTGAATTCTTGTCCTTAAAACAAATTGAAATGTAAGAATGTAGAGTAAGAAAATCAAGTTTCTATAAACCTCAAGATTTCACCACCATCCCCAGAGGTAAGCACATAGAAGTTTGGGGTGTAATCTTCCATACATTTTACTATATCAACACAGATGTTCTTTGGAAGATGGGGTGATTAACACAAATAGAGATCATATAGTTGAAACGCTTCATTTTATTAATGAGTAAACTGAGGCCCAGAGACGTTCTTCATGTGCCTTATAACATCCTGAGCTCTAAAAGATTATGTCATAATTTTGCTTCAGACTCATTCTATCTTATTTTCCATCTTACTCACTTCATTCTTCTGATATCAACTAACAGATCCCGCCTCCCAGTATAAACTTCACCCTGCCCTCCCCAGTGCTTGGAATGCCATCTGTCCCGATGTTTGACCCCCCCTGGGTCCCTCAGTGCAGCGGGAGTGTCCAGGACCCCATTAATGAAGACCAGTCTGTGAGTAACAGGCCCTTTCTTTCTAATATCTTCAGGCTCCATGGTATACGTGTAAGAGAGAACAATGGATGTGTGAGACAGTTGTCATAAGAATGTAATAACAGCACAGAAAATCAACCACAAAAGGCCTTTAGTTCTTGAGATAGAAGGAACTGACATCTGGGGTGAGCATTTGCAGACCTCCAGAAGCCAAAACAGTTTTGTTCCATAATCATAGAAGCAGCCACCTTATAATAAAAGCTACTAAAAGCATTAGGCATTGATTTCCTAGCCAAAGGTAGTGCTTTTGCCTCTCTTTATTATAAAACAAACAATTCATTTAACCTACATAAGCTACCCAAAAGTGAATGAGATTGACTCTGGATGAAGAAGAAAAAGAACTGAGTTTCCTGCTCTTGCTGTCCTTGTTTGGACCTTAGTCTGTTCTTTACCTTATTGATCATCAGTATCATCATCAGAAACATCACTCTGAGAGCTCAGGTCTTATGCTCTTCTAATACATTACTGCTCTAAGTAATATAATTTATAAACAGTTAAGTTTAGAACCCAGTCTATTTATAAACAAGAACCAAGAATATGTGCCTTTTGAAAAAATAAATCTTCAAAATATGCCTTTTTCACCTGTTGCATAGCATTTTCCTAAATTACAATATAATGTAGAAAATTTGGAAGATAAAGCAAATATAGAAAAAGAACACATCTCTATACACAAATTCATGATTATTTCCTTGCATAATTTCCCACAGGATTTAGGGCAATTGGTATGTGAATATTAAAGATTTCTGATATATCTCACAAAATATCCCCAGGATGATTGTACCATTTTACCCTTATATAACACAATAGGAAAATGTCTTCTTTATTCAAATTAACTAGTATTATTTTTTAATGCCACATTGAATGGCAAAAAACAAAGTTATTGGCTTTTTTATTCACACATCTTTAAAAAGTTGGTTGAATATATGAAGCGAGGTTGAACGTTTTTGCATGTCATACATATATTTTCTAGGCATTTGTAGTTTTCTTTGAACTGTTTGTTTGAACTCTTTACCCATCAGAATGTTTTTCTTTTAATTCTTCTGCATACACTACCTTCATATCTGATGGTTTTGTGCCAAGGACAAAGGCACGCTTGGTTCTTCCCTCCTTCATCGGAACCACTGGTATAAAGATCTTTGGTTTTTTTCTCATACATGTGATAGATTCATTTGAGTCAAGTACATCCTCTTCCCAATTTCACAGTGAATTTCAAGCCAAAGCCCCTAATTCTGTATCCAGTTATCTTTCCCTTATCTTATTATAATAAACTAGCTTAACCCCTGGCTCTGAAAATGAACTGCCATGTGGCCCATCAAATGCCCTTAACTGCTGTTGTGTCATCCACTATTGGAAACCTTTAGTCTTATGTTAATACCCTGCATAAAGGGAACTTCGATGACAGCTGTCCTTTAGAAGAGTGACCAACACCCCTTGTCTGTCTCTTTAATCCTATGTGACCACTGGCCAACAAAGATGTAGAATTTCTACTATACATAGACATCACTTCAAATTGACAGTGAAGAACGTCAGTGATCACTTCCCTGCTCTGAGACCAATTACTTCATCCCCAGAGCTCTTGGAATTTATCTCAGCATAAGCATCATGATTAAGGCAAAAACAGAATGGTCCCTTTGCAAAGTGAATCTTTTCTCCTTTATTGTTTCTTATCTGTTATGCTTTTGCTGCTGGTAAACAGAGTCAGATTTTACATTCAACCGTAGTAACACTACCAACTCTCATAATTTCCATTCAGTAGCTTTGTTTCTATAAATCTTGTTAAGTATTTACAGTGTGCCACTGTATTTTCTATTATTTATATTTATTATTATTTAACATTAATATTTCTAAATATTAAGTATTTGCAGTGTGGTAGATACTTAAGATACAAAAATGAAGTAAATCACATAATTAATTGTTTTACATGAAAGAGATCTTTCCTCCTCCTTCCCATGGTTCTGACTTTCTCTTTTATTAACCTTATGAAGTAAATGTCCTTCATTTAAAACGAGTTCAAGAAATTTTGGAAGGAAACAGAGCATTAAAAATGTTTATTCAATGTGTTTAAAGAGTGGATCATTGATATTTTATCCTAAAATAAGATTAAGTAAAATAACATTTTTTCTTTCCCGAAATTACAAACATCCTTGAAGAATTATCCCGATTGAATGAAAAGGAATGTCTTAGTTGTACACAGCCTGGAAACTTGGTAGAAAAAGAAGCAAACAAATAAATCTCCATGAAACTAGGTCACGGATGCCCTAACATTTCCTGAGAACAAAGTACCACATCTGTGTCTACATTTAGTAGAACGCTTTTTATACATGTGACCTTGCAGAAGAGTTGCTAGTAAGTAAACTTGCCTTCATGTCTCTGTAGAAATCCTTTTCAGCCCGGGCTGTGTCCCGCTCCCATCAAAGGGCAGAACACATCTTAAAGAACTTGCAACAGGAGGAAGAGAAGAAACGTCTTGGTCGAGAAGCCAGCCTCATCACCGCCATCCCCATCACCCAGGAGGCTTGCTACGAGCCCACCTGCACACCCAACTCAGAGCCAGAAGAAGAAGGTGCCCTCTACACACTGGACTTCTTTGTGGGGGGGGTGGGGGGCGCTGAGTCACACAAAAGGGAAAGGACTTGCTTTGAAATAAACATTGACGATTTTATGTGACATGAGGTGATATGCTCCCTCTGTCTCTCTCTCTTACCTCCTGACACTATCTAAAGAAAGAGAAGAAAGTTGTCTTTTTCTAAATGTTTAGAGCTGGCTTGTTTACAGAGGAGGACATTAGCCACATTGAATGAACTAATATGATAATGGACCAAGCAGTGACTATGATTCAGGCAGCAGCTGAATCCAGAGTGTGTGATAAAACACACGCAATCAATCTTTCATCATTATGAACCATTCTAAATTCAGTGATTCTCTGCCCCACTTCTGTGAAATCTTTGGGAGGAATTTTCTGTCTGCCTTTCTGTAGGTGTTTTTTCCTCACCAAAGAACACTCTAAATTACTTAAGCCTTATGCTATGAGACCTATATACACTTTGATATAAGTACAACTATAATAGTGATGATAACTTTTTTGTTACAAAACCAAAGTTCACGTTCCCCATTTTCTTTGCCAGTAGAAGAAGTCACCAATCTGGCAGCCCGTCGACTGTCTGTGAGTCCATCCTGTACCTCCAGCACTTCCCACAGGAATTATTCCTTCCGCCGAGGGTCAGTCTGGTCAGTGCGTTCAGCTGTCAGTGCTGAAGGTGTGTCCTCTTACAAATGTGTCCTTTATTCCTCATGACTTGTGTGTTTTGAAACAATTTTTATTTGATATGATTATCTCACTTCATTACACTGTCTTGATTAAATAACCTGTCTCATGATCTTAAAGTTTAAAAATGTATATTAGATGAGTGGTATTCTAAAAAAAAATTGTTGATTTAATCCAGCAAATGTCCTTGATAAATTGGTTCTATTTTAATTACATCACATGTCATCATATTGCTGAGGGTTCAATAAAACATCATTCTAGGCAGTTAACAGTTTTCAACACTGGCTACACATTACGATCAACCAGGGAGCTTTTAAAAATGCCCAGGTCACACCCAAGACCAAATCAGAATCTCTAAGGGTGGGACTCAAGCACCTCAGTGTTTTTAAAATCTCAGGTGATTCCAGTGCATAGCTAAGACTCAGTAGGATGCTTTAGAATGCTGTTCTAGAATAATTTATCAAAGGAAGAACAAAGCTCGTGCCAGTCCTGTAATGAAATCTGATTCCGGTGGAGAAATGTGATACTCTTCAGTTCTAAGAATTTAAAAACTATGCTTCTCTAATGATAAATAACTGTCTGGGGACTCGCTCCTTCATGATTATACAGATTTCATCACGATTTATAAAGTCATCAAAAAGTTGTACAGAAACTAGTGGTTCTCAACCCTTCACTGCACAACCCTGGAAAACTTCAAAAATGACCAATGCTAATTAATCACAGCAGCCCAAGGCATATCTATATTTTTTCTAACACCTTTATTGAGATATAATTCACATACTAAAATTCACCCTTTTGAAGTGCATAATGCAGTGGTTGTTAGTATATTTGTAGACTGTGCAACCGTCAACCCTACCTAATTTTAGGATATTTTCATTATCCCCAAAAGAGACCCTATACCCATTAGTAGTCACGCCTCATCCACCACTCCCCCCAACCCCTGACGAGAAATAATCTACTTTCTATTTCTATGAATTTGCCTATTCTGCACATCTCATATGAATGGGATCATAGAGTATGTGGCCTTTTGTGACTGGATCCTTTCACTCAGCATACTTTCCAGGTCGATTCATGCTGCCACATGTATCAGTTCTTCATTCCTTCTTATTACAAGATCATGTTCCATTATATGGATACGCCACGTTTTCTGTATCCATTCACCAGTTAGAGTGGACTTCTGGGTTGTTTCCACCCTTTGGTTATTATGAATTACACTCTTATGAACCATTATGTATAAGTCTTGTGAGGAAAACTGCCAAACCCTTTTCAAAAGTGTCTGTATCGTTTTACATTCCGACCAAAAAGCATAAGGGTTCCAACTGTTCCACACCCTTGCATAGGCACAGTAATCTTGGAAATGAAGAGCAAAGTTGGAAAACTTACATTTCCCCATTTCAAAACTGACTACAGAGCTGCAGTAACCAAGACTGTGCAGTATGGACTTGAGGGTTGATATACACGTCAAGGGACTAGATTGGAACCAGAAGTAAACCATTACATGTATGTTGATTTCAAGTTTGAAAAGGGTGCCATGAAACGTCAATGGGGGAAAGAATAGTCTTTCCAACAGATGATGCTGGCACGACTAGATATCTGCACAGAAAAAAAAGTTCCATAAGTAGGTCTTGAACTGAGAAAAGCACGCCGATTCTGTCTCCCTCTTCAGATGAGGAGCACACCACTGAACACCTGCCCAGCCCCCACGTGCCTCAGCCCCCGCAGGCTGTGTTCCCGGCATGCATCTGTGCAGCAGTGCTCCCCATTGTCCACCTGATGGAGGATGGTGAGGTGCGAGAAGATGGAGTAGCAGGTACAGTTTTTGTTTGTTTGCGGTACGCGGGCCTCTCACTGCTGTGGCCTCTCCCGTTGCGGAGCACAGGCTCCGGATGCGCAGGCTCAGCGACCATGGCTCGTGGGCCCAGCCGCTCCGCGGCATGTGGGATCTTCCCGGACCGGGGCACGAACCCAGGTCTCCTGCATTGGCAGGCGGACTCTCAACCACTGCGCCACCAGGGAAGTCCAACAGGTATACAGTATTGACTAGTCAAAACCGTCAGTAACTCTAATAAATACTGAAGGCGTTCATCTGATAAAGAGCAGTAGGGTGCCCTCGAAGCCATGAACCACTGGCCACGTGTGGAGTTGTTTTATGGACATACTGTAATGACAGATTTGTAGCAGGCTGAACTAACACTACCACTTTCTCCACCTTTTCCTCCCACACTTTATGACCAAGATATTGCACTTAAAATAGGCAGTTTTTTCCAGGAGCATTGTTTAGGACTGGAGAACAGACCAACCCTCATTTGGCCACGGAGAAATCAAATAGTGATTTTGGCCACCTTAGAAATCTTAGCCATTGGCTTGACATCATTAATGCCATCTTTCTCACTTGATTTCCTTTCCAAAGGTAGTATGTAAAGAAAATAATTGAAAAATGAAATGATAAACTAGGGGTAAAGATGAGTTACATTTGTCACAGATAACAGGTTAATATTCTTGATGTTATTTTTTTTTTAAAAAACCTTTATAAAAAGGTTTATAAAAAACCTTTATAACTCAATAATGACATTTTTATACCCCAGTAGAGAAATGGACAAAGGATATAAACACGCACTCTAACAGCCAATTAAATCTGTAAATAACACTGTTGTTTAAAACAACAGTGAAATCTTACATTTCATATAAAAAATTGCAAGGATTTTTTCAAAAGAAATTATGCATAGCTGGTAAAGATTCAGAGAAAAGATTATCCTCACACCTTGCTGACGGCAGTAAAAATTTAATGCAAGCATTCTGAAACAGTTTCACAGTATGCACCATAAGCCTTAAAAGTGTGTACACCCTTTGACACAGATTTTGGTATCTAGCAATTTCCTAAGGCAGTAATGAGGGGTGAATTAAGGTTTACAGAGAACGCTGTACCTTGTATAGTTTTAAAATAGCAAATATTCGAAAAGAGTTTAAATGTCCAACAATAAGCAATTAGTTAATCATGGTACCTCCATATGACAGCTTTCTGTGCACATTAGAAAAATATTAACATAAAAGTGTTCAATTTATAATTAAAAATGTGAGTACCAGAGAGTATTTTCTATATGATATTACTTAAAGATACATGTAAATATATATATTTCATATATATGAAAAAATATACTCTAAAATGTTTATAGTTGTTTTGGTGGTTGGTAGACTTATCAGTCTTATTCTCCTCTTTGTCTTTTTCTGTATTTCTCATGTTTTAAGCATTAAACTGCCGTACTTAGCAATTAGAATATAGTGTTATAAAGAAAGTTTTGCAACCAATTTCAACTTAACAAAAACCCACATCTATTTTAATTATTTATAAAGATACATGAAAGTTAAAGCTTATATTTACATCTGTTAAATTATTTATTTATATAGTTCAATTTTAATTTGATGGTTAGCTTCTGAAGCAAAAAAATTTGGTATGATTTATTTTAAATATAGGCTGAAAAATAAATTTATGCTAAACTCTATATTCCTAGTTTAGAAAACTAAACTAAACCATTTAAACGGAAGATTATCTAATGCTTACCCCCTACTCACTTTTACCCACCTGCTTTCTTAGCCTGGGCACTTCAGGCAACCTTAGACTGACCACTTTTCCCAAAGAAGTAGCACTTTCTTTCACATTAGGAATAATTATTTATTCCTAAGACACCCTCATTAGAAGTGGGAACCCTAACTGTTACTGGCTCAACTATGTCATCTTGCTGTGGGAGTTATTATTTAAAACATTCATGTGAAGAATAAAAGGTCATGTCTAATTCATGTGCATTCTAAACAAAGCATATTTTCTAAACCAAATAATTACTTTAGGAATTTCTGCATACAATAAACAATGAAGTGGGACTTTAATAAATACTTACCACTGTTAACATTAGGGTAATTTCCAAAACAAAGATTCATAACTGTATTCTTTTTTTATTAAGATGTAATTGACATATAACATTGTGTTAGTTTTAGATATACAACATAAACATTTGATATATGTATGCGTTACAAAATGATTACCACAATAAGTTTAGTTAACATCCATCACCATACATGGCTACAATTTTTTTTTATTATGGGAACTTTTTAATTTTTGGCTGCTTTGGGTCTTCGTGGCTGCACGTGGGCTTTCTCTAGCTGCGGCGAGCGGGGGCTATTCGTCGCAGTGCGCAGACATCGAATTGTGGTGGCTTCTCTTGTGGAGCACGAGCTCTAGGTGCGCGGGCTCAGTAGTTGTGGCCCGTGTGCTCTAGAGTGCAAATTCAGTAGCTGTGGCGCTCAGGCTTAGTTGCTTCATGGCATGTGGGGTCTTCCCGGAGCAGGGCTCGAACCTTTGTCCCCTGCATTGGCAGGCGGATTCTTAACCACTGTGCCACCAGGGAAGTCCTGAGGAGGACTTTTAATAACTACTGTCTTAACAGCTTTCAAGTATACAATACAGTATTGTTAACGACAGTCACCATGCTGTACATTATATCCCCAGGATTTATTTATCTTATAACTGGAAGTTTGTAAACTTTGACCACCTTCCCTCCCCCCAGTACCCACCCCCCCACCTCTGGTAACAAATCTGTCCTATGTATCTATGAGTTTGGGTTTTTCTTTGATTCCACATGTAAGTGAGATCATACATTTTTCTTTCTCTGTCCGACTTCTTTCACTTTGCATAACACCCTCAAAGTCCATCCATATTGTCACAAATGGGAGGATTTCCTTTTTTATGGCTAAATGATATTCCATTGTATATCACAAATGCATTTTTAACAAAAGCAATGCTGATATTTAAAGGGCATCCTATACTCTTTTGTCACATTTTCCTTATAGGCTAAAATGTTCAGAAACAACAACAAAAAGAACAGATACCTGCCTTTCAATAGAAAAAGAGTTCACAGAACCTCTGTAAGGCAAGAATTTGAGAGAGACCTATTAAAGTTTAGTAAATTATTTGAATACTTTATCTAATAGATTTATCTCCATTTAAGATGACTATTCAATTTCCTTTCTCTTCTGAAGTGAGTGCTGTGGCCCAGCAAGTCTTATGGAATTGTCTAATTGAAGATCCATCAACAGTTCTTCGACATTTCCTGGAAAAACTGACCATCAGCAACAGACAAGTAAATTCCTCTTTCTTTATAGTGTAGCTGTGTAGCTATGTGTGTGAACATGGTTAAAAACAAGCAGTGGACTTTATAGTGACATGCATGCAACATTGGTGTCCTCTGACATATAGCCGAGAAGTACTTTGGATGATGATAATGATGAACAAATTAAACTTGGCTGTTTTCTTTTGAATTTCTCCATTCACTGATGTCTCCGTATGTATATGGTACCCTGCTAGTAATGACCCTAAGATACTGAAAGATTCTCAGTCTTTTAAACAAAGATTAAATTCAGTTTAATGTTTTCAGTGTTCGGTACGTTTACTGAATTCTGACTGGCTGGTAGTATGTGGTGCAGGTAGTATTGTTAGAGCATGTTGAAACTCTCCATTAATCAAAAAATCTAATTTATCAGGTCACCCTGTGAGAAGATTATGCCAAATAAAAGTCATTTTCTGAGCAATGGCAAAATACCCTGACGATTACAAATTATTTCTTCATTTCTGTGTTATGGTCCTGTTCACTGGAAGATTAAGTTTCTGAAAGGAAGGTTAATTAGAAACACCTCCATTTATTCTCTCTTGGCCCAGCTTTATCTCTTTGACTTGAAACGTAGGAAGCAGAACTGTGAAGTTCAATAAGCCTAGTTTGTTTAATGGTTTCTTAAGATAGATCCTCCTCACATTTCCATCACACCTGGAAGCCACAGCAAACAGATGACTAAATGTACAGCTTTCCTGTGATTTGCCTGGGACCTATAGACACAGTCTGCATTTTTATTTAAAAGTTTGACTCTTGCTTTAGTAATTTCATGTATTAGCTTCTAGGAGACGGTGTTACAGTTGGTTTAAACGCTATTTAACAAGTATCACAAATACCATATTAAAATTCTGAACATAAGGGAAATCAACATGTGGGCAAAAGTAAGAAAAATCCCCCTACCTTGCTTTTCAAGAAGTTAATTTTATTTCCTACAGCATGGCAGCTGAATGAGACCTAGAAATTCTGTTGTTCTTTCAGGATGAGTTAATGTACATGCTGCGCAAACTTCTCCTGAATATCGGAGACTTTCCTGCTCAGACCTCTCACATCCTATTCAACTACTTGGTGAGTTTCACCTCCAGTAGGTTATAAATATTCGTTTCCAAGTAGGAAGCAACAATAAGAGAAAAAGATCTTAGGAGATTTTTTTTTTTCAATAAGTTCCCATTAATTATATGACTGAAGGTGAATCATGGTCAGCTGAATTCACCACTGTTTGTATGGGGAAGCCCCTCCTGGCACAATCCTTGGCATGTGATGGGCACTCAGTAAATGTCTCTTTCCTCTCTGTCTCCCTTTGGCATTATAGAACTTCCTCATGTCGGTCCATAATTTTAGTTTTCTGTTGAAAAAATGTATATGTCATTTTTTTAAAAATTCCTTTTTCTTTTAACACCTTTATTGGAGTATAATTGCTTTACAATGGTATGTTAGTTTCTGCTTTATAACAAAGTGAATCAGCTATACATATTCATATATCCCCATATCCCCTCCCTCTTGTGTCTCCCTCCCACCCTCACTATCCCACCTCTCTAGGTGGTCACAAAGCACGGAGCTGATCTCCCTGTGTGATGCAGCTGCTTCCCACTAGCTATCTATTTTACATTTGCTAGTGTATATATGTCAATGCTACTCTCTCACTTCATCCCAGCTTACCCTTCCTCTTCTCCATGTCAAGTCCATTCTTTACGTCTGTGTCTTTATTCCTGTCCTGCCCCTATGTTCTTCAGAACCATTTTATTTTTTTTTTACATTCCACATATGTGTGTTAGCATACATTATTTGTTTTTCTCTTTCTGACTTACTTCACTCTGTATGACAGTCTCTAGGTCCATCCAGCTCACTACAAATAACTCAATTTCGTTTCTTTTTATGGCTGAGTAATATTCCATTGTATATATGTGCCATATCTTTATCCATTCATCTGATGATGGACATTTAGGTTGCTTCCATGTCCTGGCTATTGTAAATGTGCTGCAATGAACATTGTGGTACATGACTCTTTTTGAATTATGGTTTTCTCAGGGTATGCTAACACATATATATGGAATCTAAAAAAAAAAATATGGTTCTGATGAACCTAGGGGCAGGACAGGAATAAAAACCCAGATGTAGAGAATTGACTTGAGGACATGGGGAGGGAGAAGGGTAAGCTGGGATGAAGTGAGAGAGTAACATTAACATATATACACTAGCAAATGTAAAATAGATAGCTAGTGGGAAGCAGCTGCATCACACAGGGAGATCAGCTCCATGCTTTGTGACCACCTAGAGGGGTGGGATAGCGAGGGTGGGAGGGAGATGCAAGAGGGAGGGGATATGGGGATATACGCAGACATGTAGCTGATTCACTTTGTTATACAGCAGAAACTAACACAACATTGTAAAGCAATTGTACTCCAGTAAAGATGTTAAAAAAAATAGCAGTAAGTATTTTAGTGATGACATAAAAATATATGGCAACCTGTTCAGGCCAGTTTTCCCCTTGTCCCTTCTTCTGCTTACTTCCACTGAAAGTGTTAGAGAAGCATTTGAACAGAGAATTCAAAGTCAAAAAAACAATATTTAATTAAGAAAATGAAAAGCCAAGGCAATGAGAATGTAAGCTCAGAATTACTGTGACTTTGTGACCACTTCCTGTTCTGACTTATAGGTAGGATTAATCATGTACTTTGTGCGGACCCCCTGCGAGTGGGGGATGGATGCCATTTCAGCCACTCTGACTTTCCTGTGGGAGGTGGTCGGTTACGTAGAAGGCCTGTTCTTCAAGGATCTGAAGCAGACCATGAAGAAGGAGCAATGTGAGGTCAAGCTCCTGGTGACCGCTTCAATGCCAGGTACTGCTTTTGGAAGACATAACTTTTTTAGGAGTATAAATAAGGCTTTTACAAACCAAGTCTCTTTCATTCATGAGAAAATTTTCTGACCCTGGGATTGAGTGCTTCAAAGAATTTTTGTTGGATACAATCTGAAGAAATACAATAGACCCTTTAAAAGTCAGCAATTGCCAGATGAAAAGGGAGACATCAGAACTGAGATCCACGTGAATCAGTACTTGAAGGACTGCCAAGGTTAAAGATTTATTTAAGTCTATTGCAGAGGGCCAGCTGAACTGAGAGCCTTTTTGAATGAATTTTTGGCACTGCAAGGAGAATACTATTGTTTGCATGGCAGGGACCCCAGGCTTTTGTAAACTCACTGAGAGATGGCTTTATGAAAAATTGGAAAAGGGAAAAGCAGGAAGGAAAATTACAAAAAAACATGCAGTGTGATATAAACTCTAGGTACAATTCCTTTTCACTTTGGATAGCTTGCCTTTCTTGGAGATGAAATTTTGCCAAGCCTTTATCCTTGCGCAATGTCTAAGAAAATGTGAGAGAATACATGTACTGAAATAAAAAGACAAAATTATATATAAATAAGAACACAGGTTCTGGCAGCAAAGAGGCCTATGTTAAAATCAGAGCACTGCCATTTATCATCTGTGTAATTAATATTAGCTATGAAAAAGGACATCACTTTTAAAGCTTTCTTTACTCACACGTACAATGGGAGTATGATTCATACTTGATAGTCGTGAGGAATAAATGAGTTTAGGTTTGTACAATACTAGCTGCCACACCTGACACGTGGTAAGCATTCAGTAAGTGGTGATGGTATATTTATGTGTCTCTAGGTTACTCAACAAAGAGATCAGCTTTTATCACAGCAAAGAAACATATTGTCAGGCATACACTTAAAAACAACTCATTATAAATCAAGGTATATCATAATGTTCACTGTCTCACCAGCCAAGCAGAATACAGAAAATGTAAATGTACACTACCTTTCAGGTACTTGTTTAGCTTTTGCTAATAGCTCTGTTTGTATCTTCTCAACCATTATTACCTCATCATCTCATTTAAAATAAAGGAATAGATTATTTGTTGGAATGCTTAAGGTTTGAATTCTGACTCTTCCACTAAATAAATGTGTCTTTGACTAAGTTACTTATAAGTTCTTATTTATAAGAATAAGTTCTCTCTGTTTCTTCATTTGTAGTGTGAAAATAATAATCCCCATATCATAGGGTTGCTATGAGATTTAAATATGATTGTGCACATAAAACCATTTAAAAGTATGGGGAACTCCTTAAACGGTAGCTATGATTTTTAAATAATAAGTAAACATATTTAAGATATATATTTAGGGCTTCTCTGGTGGCGCAGTGGTTGAGAGTCCGCCTGCCGATGCAGGGGACACGGGTTCGTGCCCCGGTCCGGGAAGATCCCACATGCCACGGAGCGGCTGGGCCCGTGAGCCATGGCCGCTGGGCCTGCGCGTCCGGAGCCTGTGCTCCGCAACGGGAGAGGCCACAGCAGTGAGAGGCCCGCGTACCGCAAAAAAATAAATAAATAAATAAATAAAATTAAAAAAAAATATATATATATATTTAACTAGAAACAAAGGAGTGCAGTTAATACAATGCACGAGTCGCATTAAGCCCTCACTGGTAGTAATCATAATAATAATAAAAACGTCAGCTTATTGATAATATTTTAATAATTTGTGCTTTATCTATAAACTTTCTTATAGTAGAAGTCAGTTTATTATGATTTTTACCTTCTGTAGGTACCAAGACCTTGGTAGTTCATGGACAGAATGAGTGTGATATCCCAACCCAGTTACCAGTCCATGAAGATACTCAGTTTGAAGCCCTGTTAAAGGTAAGGATGACTTTTGACAGAAGTGATTTGTTTTTAATGCACAATGGCTATGGCCACTTCACTGATCATCCAGTTTTGAATTAAATTGCCTTTCTCTATCTTCAAATGAATATATGCATTTATTTACCTCTTCTAGAATCTGCCCCACTCTTGTGTACTTCCTCTATTTCCTTGCATAATTTTCCCCACATGGATGTAGGCAAGATCACGCTGGCTCCCTCTCAGTTACAGCAGCCACGTGACACTCCTCTTGAGATGCTGTGAATCCTGCTTAGGAGTATCCTGGCATCACTTGTGGCAGTTCTGGAGCCGCCCTGGGTTTGCACGCCAAGGGCACTGGGACAAACTCTAGGGGTCAGGTGACAGTCCATGCCAGAGACGCTTTTTGTGGCATCGCGTTGAACAATCCACAGTCTTGATTTGCCACTGACAGAAATGATTGGAGAGGCAGAAAATATATACCTTAGAATAAACTAAGTGAATCAAGAAAGTATTTTTAATGGTTATGACAATTACGCCCCTTAAGAGATACGCAGTCCATTGTTACTCATGCCTGTGGGGTTGTTAAGGGAAAGTAGTAAGTACACTAGTGCAGTGATTCCCTGTTTATCTGGAGCCCAAACTTTCGGCCCAGGAAAGACCTCTGAGAAATTCAGTTTTGCAAGCCTGTGTATTTTATTTCGGTAGAAAGGGTCGTTAAGCCTCCTCCAGGCCTCACGCCTTCATCTCCAGAGCATCTCTCAGGCCCAGTGAAGCAAACTTTAACAGCCACTTCATTTTCCTACTCACTTTGGATGGTAGGATAGCATGAAGGCAGACAGTGAGTTCAAACCCAGGCTCCACCACAACCAGTGTTATCTAAATAAGTCAGACGACAGGCTCTCTCTAGTCTCAGTTTCTTTTTCAACAGTGCTCGATTATTAGCGCAGGTTATACAAGTTCTCTACATTGAAAGCATTGAGCATAGAGTTTAGTAGATAATAAGTGCTTAATCACTGTGGTTCATATTACTCTTAATGTTGCTACTAAACATGCTTTCTTCTGATATTGAGACCAGTAGATGCCACTGTGCCTTCACAGTTCATCACTCAAGTCTACATTGTAATTGTACCTCTTTTAGCTCTATGAGAACAGAGCAGATAGTTTGTATTACACTATCAGGCTTTTTTAAAATTGAGATATAGTTGATGTATAATATTATATACATTTCAGGTATAGAGCATAGTGATTCACAATTTTTAAAGGCCATATTCCATTTATAGTTATTCTAAAATATTGGCTATATTCTGTGTTGTACAATATATCCTTGTAGCTTATTTATTTTATGCATAGTAGTTTGCATGTCTTAATCCCCTACCCCTATCTTGCACTACCTTACACAATCAGTCTTTATGCTGTCATTTTTTTGGATAGCTGTGTGCATGTAAATGTTCATATATATGTGTGTGTATATAATATATATACGTATATATATGCACACATAATATATAAAATGTGTGTAAGATATAAATACATATATATTCCTTATAGGAAGTTACCTTGTTTTACGACATTTTTACCTTTCAGCTTACTGTTTGGCTCATAATATGATCTCAATAAATGTTTATTAAAAATTGCTGTCGTTCTAGGAGTGTCTGGAGTTTTTTAATATCCCCGAATCCCAGTCTACACATTACTTTCTCATGGATAAACGATGGAACCTTATCCACTACAATAAGGTGAGACTGCAGTGATGATGCTCATGGAGAGCTGTGTCAAAAGCCCATTACGCCTTTCCGGAGGGCAGCTTCACGCAGGGGGGCGTCGCTGTTTATAGGTGAGGCGTATGGCCGCTTGGTTCACACCACCTCACTGCTGATGTATTAGCTTTGGACTGGCCACTTTACCTTTGTACCCTTCAGTTTCCTTGTCTGTAAAGGGAAGGTGATGATAGTAGCTACTTTAGGGTCGTTGTAATAATTAAAGGAGATAAGTAAGGCACTTCGTCACTCATCATTATTACATCTAGATGAACACTTAAGTTGCCCGTATTGTAAGTACACGTGTTTATTTGGAATGTTAATGTTGTTCTCGTGCCGCTTTCTACTACATTAAGCATGATTGTGGTAACGTGATCTAATGAACAAAGGAAACCTCAGGAAGACCACTGACATCACTTTACAGGGCTTTTCTTTTCTTCTTCAGAATGGGTTTTAGTAAATGGCCTCTGGCTCCTTGGCTCCTGACAGAGCATCCTGGACTTTGGAAAGCATACTCAGCCTGGGGAGATTGAAGCTTTCCCGAGGAGGGTGTTTATCTTCCCTAGGATTTTGTAGAATTGGGGAGCGTAAAGTAGTAAGAATCTAAACCATCAGAAAATACATAACATGTTTGTCTGACCTTTGGGGAAAGAGGAAATGAGAGTCAGAGTTTAATTATTGGAACTCTTTTTTTGTCTTTGTGTAATCCCACCACAGACCTATGTTCGGGATATTTACCCTTTTAGGAGATCCGTGTCTCCACAGCTGAACCTTGTACATATGCATCCAGAGAAAGGACAGGAGCTCATTCAGAAACAGGTGCCTGACCACCACAGTTTTATTCTGTTTTGTCATGTCATTGGGATAGATGCTCTGTAAACGGTTGCCAGCCCTGAGATTCTGTTATGATCCTTTCTAGAGAGAGAATGATGGGCCCTTGGTCAATAGATAGTTCCCAAAAATAGTGTTTTAACCAAGTTTTTATAAATTGGATGAATAATGTAAAGGTATTAAGAAACGCTCACTTGGAGAATGCTATGAGAAATCATTGGGGTATAAATAACAGAAATCTTCTAATTTATTTACCTACTAGTTCCTAAGTTTGGATTTTCACTCCACATTTTTGTAAAGCGGGATTGGAAGTACACATAGTGTAGCTATAAGAAGGTTGTCCCGGAAATTTATGCTAGCTGGAAAAAAATAAAAGGGGTCAATGTAGTGTGCCTGCAAAAGGCCCTGCACCAAGGTCCAGAGATTTGGACTCAGTCCCATCTCTGCCACTGACCAGGGATCTGACCTTGGACATGTTACTGACTGCTCTTAAAATAGGAGGAAACAGAATCAAGCAGCTGTACTTAGATTTAAGATTGAAGAACAGAATAATGTTTACACATCTCATCATAAATCAGACTTTGAGCTTAAGGAAATTCACTATTTTGCAAGCGAAATATAGCTGTAGTACACAATTCTAATAATGATACAATCTTAATGTGGTCTTTGTGTTATATTCATTTATTTTTAATAAAATGTTGAAACACACTATTATTTCAGTTTTTCCGCATGTAGCAAGGATGCTATTCAAAAATATCTTCAGGGGATGGCATAGAATCCGACCGCTTAAGTAATTAAAAACATAGTATTAACTACCTAAATTGCATTTAGAAGAAAGAAAATAGTGAATGTATTACAAAGTGTGAGGTGTTGGGCAAAACTGTAAGACCTTAAATATAAATAATTCCTAAAACAATTCCCCACAAATTATCCCAGCCTCTGATTTTGGCAGCAAAATAATGAAAACCATAATCAATAACCTCACTTCACGAGTGTGTTTTTTTAGTCATGTTTAAGAACACATTTTAAGAGAATAACATAAAATGGGGCCCTTACTCTATTTATACTCCAAGCTGGGATCTTAAGACTTCTTTCTAATTTCCTCAGGGAGATAATAATAGACAGACCTGTGGTTCTGGCTCTGAAGTCTCCTCCACAGCTGCTCACTGCTTATCATCTTCCTAGTCACATCCCCCTGCCCACTGATCAGCAACAGAAAAGGCACTAAGAGAAGGACCGAAAGACCCATGTTCACGTCATCTAAACTAAGGGCTAAAGGACCACCAATCTAGGTCCTATTAGCTTTTGTTCCAAGATAGGTTTTTCCTGGAGCCCATTTCAGTCTTTAAGAGGCAAACCCAGAAACTGCGTAAGGCATCAGTAGAAATGATAGAAGCAATTGGAACTGACTGGCTCCTGTTGGAGAAGGTCTTCTATATTATGACATCCAAACAAATGGGCTGTATTTACTACTGAACTGTTCTTGACAGTGCTTGCCTTGTTCTCCTCCTCTAGCTGGCAAACTCCATAAGAAACACTTCCTTCTGTAGGACAGATGCAGGAAGTGAGAGTCAATTAAGTATTGTTTGCTCTTTCTGTGTGGTAAAGAAAAAATATTTCTCTCCCATTTCACTTCCCCCATCTTTCAATTTTTAATCAGCCCGGTTTGCCATTAAGGTTTTCACTTCAGTTTCTTCACTCTTGGTAATTTCAGAATTGCCAATTCTACTTTTCATCTGCTCCTACCTTTGCCGGTAGGTATTCACTCGGAAGCTGGAGGAAGTGGGGAGGGTTTTGTTTCTCATCTCCCTCACCCAGAAGATCCCCACAGCCCACAAGCAGTCCCACGTCTCCATGCTCCAGGAAGACCTCCTCCGACTGCCCTCATTCCCTCGAAGTGCTATTGATGCGGAGTTTTCACTCTTCAGTGATCCTCAAGGTATCAAGAAAGAAGCATTTCCTCTCTTGGGCTTCTTCTCCTGCCCTTCTTTTGTCCTCAGCTAGAGGACGTCTCTATCTTAATCGGCAGACAGTTCTCTAAGCTAGTGGCTCTCAGCTCTTGAGTGGACACAAGAATCACCTGGAGAACTTGATGAAACACAGATTGCTGGGTCCCACCCTCCGGCCCCGAGTTTCTGATTCAGTAGCTCTGGAATGGGGCTTGGGAACTTGCATTTCTGACAAGCTCCCAGGTGAGGCTGGTGCTTCTGTGCCAAGGACCAAATCCTGAGACCACTGCTCTAAGCTAATCGTAAGCAATTGAAGGAAGCAGTGTGGTATTGTTAGGAGAGTACTTGACTAAGTGAAGAACAGATATTTATATGAAATTCAAGAGGAGGCAAAACGAATCTACAGTGACAGAAATCAGAACAGTAGTTACCTCTGGACTGGGGGGAATGGATTTCCCAGAAAGGGGTATGAGAGAACTTTCTCAGGTGATGAAAATGGTCTATACATTGATTGGCGTGTTCGTTACCTGAGTGGGTATTTTTGTCAAAATTCATTGAATTCTACATTTATTTTCTGTGCCTTGTACTCTATCTAAATTATACCTTCTTCATTAGAAAGTCTGGAGTCAGGGCCCAGTAATCTGTGTTTTTATAAGACCTCCAGGTGGTTTCGATGCCCTAGGAAGCTTGAGAACCATTATTCAAATTGAGAGAGAGAGAGGGAGACTGAGACAGAGAAATTGGAAGAGACCCATTTTGAAACCACGCTCTGTTACTCAGTTATTAATCTGGGACAGTTTACTTAAATCAGCATCCGTATGCTCTACATCTTCATCCAGAAGCTCCAGAGAAATAGTAGACACAGCTCTAGTCTGACCATGAGTTCAAAGACCAAGAACAAGTCCCAGCCCTGCCATTTTCTTAATAGCTTATTTTTTCTCAAAGCCACAGCTTATGCAGCAGCAAGACACTGCACCTGCCTGCCCCGTCTTGCCCACAGAGTTGAATCAAAGAGTTGATGAAGAAAGTACTTGGAGGGTTAGGAGGTGTCACAGCAATGGCTGCAATATTGCTCTGGGAAACGTATCAGCAGTAGATCTTCATGTCCCTGAGCTGGAAACATCAGCGCCCTGGGGTTTGATCGCCCTCCACACTGACAGGATTGGCGTGGGGCTAATTCTGTCTCTGCTGTTTCATGTTTCACAGCTGGGAAGGAGCTGTTTGGCCTCGACACTCTTCAGAAAAGCTTGTGGATCCAGCTCCTGGAGGAGATGTTCCTGGGCATGCCGAGCGAGTTTCCCTGGGGAGATGAAATCATGCTTTTCCTCAACGTTTTTAACGGGGCTCTGATCCTGCACCCAGAGGACAGTGCCCTGCTCAGGCAGTACGCGGCCACCGTCATCAACAGCGCTGTGCACTTCAATCACCTCTTCTCCCTCAGCGGCTACCAGTGGATTCTGCCCACCATGCTGCAGGTGCACAGGCTGTCCTCTCCTGCCCATGGAACAGGTCAACAAGATCTGTACCAAAACTTTTAATGATGGAATTATCTTCTTTTATGACCTCAAAAGGCACCAAATGAACCCGCCCTAGAAACTTCCAAAAGGTCATAATATTCCATTGTCTTCTGAGATCTCCCAGACCTGGGCTCTGCTTTCCCATTTCTTCTGGACCAGTGGTTCTCAAAGTGCACTGTCTGGAGCAACAGCAGCAGAAGCAGCAGCATCACCTGGGGATTTGTTAGAAATGCACATTCTTGGGTTCCATCCCAGTGCTACTTAATCAGAAAGTCTGGAGTCAGGGCCCAGTAATCTGTGTTTTTACAAGACCTCCAGGTGGTTTTAATGCCCTAGGAAGCTTGAGAACCATTATTCAAATGTATGGCAAGCATTCAGTTGATGTTTCTCCCAAGAGAGTCTCCAACCTCTATCTGAATAGAAATTTTCATTGCCATTAAATTTGGTATGACAAGGTTGGAGGAGGTGAATGTAGCAGGAACAGTTTTCACTTAGTCATGCCTAATGTGTACATGGCTACAGTTAGGAGTACTGAATAAAGTTCAGAAGGGGCCTTGAGGGCTCATCCTACTTCTCATTTTTATGGAAATTTTAATAAAATTATGGAAGTAATGCATGTTTGTGTAAAGTGGCATTTGCTCAACTACAGGGGCAAGAAATTGACTTTTTTTTTTTTTTTTTTTTTTTGCGGTACGCGGGCCTCTCACCGTTGTTGCCTCTCCCGTTGTGGAGCACAGGCTCCGGACGCGCAGGCTCAGTGGCCACAGCTCGCGGGCCCAGCCGCTCCGCGGCATGTGGGATCTTCCCGGACCGGGGTACAAACCCGTGTCCCCTGCATCGGCAGGCGGACTCTCAACCACTGCGCCACCAGGGAAGCCCAAGAAATTGATTTTTAATATCATCAGGGCACTCTGTCCTATTTTTAGATAGTTGGAATTTCCTGTATAACTTTTTAAATAATTATCAAAAACAATAAATGCTCATTATAAAATTCGAAAGATAAAGAAAAGTTTAAAGAAGAAAATAAAGATCACCCATGGGGCTTCCCTGGTGGCGCAGTGGTTGAGAATCTGCCTGCTAATGCAGGGGACACGGGTTCGAGCCCCGGTCTGGGAAGATCCCACATGCCGCAGAGCAACTAGGCCCGTGAGCCACAACTACTGAGCCTGCGCGTCTGGAGCCTGTGCTCCGCAACAAGAGAGGCCACGAAAGTGAGAGGCCCGCGCACCGCGATGAAGAGTGGCCCCCGCTTGCCACAACTAGAGAAAGCCCTCGCACGGAAACGAAGACCTAACACAGCCAAAAATAAATAAATAAACAAATGTGGGGTTTAAAGAAAAAAGAATATTATTTAAAAAAAAAAAAGATCACCCATAATCCTCCCCCTAGATAACCATCGTTTACACATCTTGAAAATCTTGGTACTCTCTCGTACTTTTTCTAAAACAGAAGTTGAATCGTACCATATATTCAAGTTTGTTACCTACCTTTTTTAATGTGACATTAAGAATATTGTGGGAGTTTTCCCTGTAGCACTATATAGCATCTTTTAAAATATAACTGATAGTATTCTGTTGAATGCATATACATAATACACTTAACCCCAATTTATGAATAATTTAAGTTGTTTCAAATTTTCTACTATTTTAAGCAACCTTGCAGCAGTCATTATTGTATATATTATATCTTTGTACATTTGTCTGTTTTCTTAAGATAAATCACTAGTCACAAACTTCCCGAGAAAAAAGTATATTTTTAGGATTAAATATAAATATACTTATATATATATATATGTAAGTATATAAATATATATATAACATATCTATATTTTTAGGATTTTTATGTATATTGCCAGATCTCTCTCAAGAAGGTATATACCATTTTACACTCCCCTCCATCAGTTTATGAAATTAGTCATTTCCGTCCATGCTTCCCATGGCTATGAGTTTTAAAAGCAAACACAACTCTAGTAGGCTGTTAAGGAATTTTCTGAATATGGTGACATTTTTCCATAGGTGTACTCTGACTATGAAAGCAATCCCCAGTTGCGTCAAGCCATTGAATTCGCCTGCCATCAGTTCTACATTCTACACCGGAAGCCCTTTGTGCTCCAGCTGTTTGCAAGTGTGGCCCCTCTCCTGGAGTTTCCTGTGAGTAAGCTCTGTGGAAATAAAGACCAACCCAACGAGGAAAGCAAAGTCTGTTTATTCAGAGCTTACTACAGCAAGGGATTCCTGGGCTGGTTACTACAGATTGTAGATCAGTTCTATATTTATGTATGGCCTGGTCATTGTGCATTTGTATAATCAGTCTCTCAGCTCTCTTTATTCAAGCAATGGAATATAAATACCAAAAATTATTTCTCTTTCAACAAGAAAATCTTCTCTCTTCAACGTTTCTCTTCAACCCTTATTTCGGCCCCTAGGATGTAAATAGATCAACTCTCTGGATTTTTATACTCAGTTAATGAAAGGATGGAAAATGGAAAATGATAAAAGGAAGAGTTCCGGATTCTCATTTTTTTCTGTCACTCTCTAGCACTTACCCTGCTTTATTTTTATTTTCTGCAGAGCATTTATATCATATCACATGTAATATATGTATTTGTTTCACTAATATGTATCTTTACCACACCCCACAGTAGAATTTGAGCTCCGTTAAAACGAGACATTTGTCTGGTTTTTGCTTGCCTTTTGCTTGTTTTTAGTTGTTGTTTTGTTTGTTTTTGTTTTGCTGTAACTGCAGTGCACAAAATGGTGCCTGGCACATAGTAGGAATTTAATGAGGTTTTTTTTTTAAATTAATTTTTATTGGAGTATAGTTGCTTTACAATGTTGTGTTAGTTTCTGTTGTAGAGCAAAGTGAATCAGCTATATGTATACATATATCCCCTCTTTTTTGGATTTCCTTCCCATTTAGGTCACCACAGAGGATTGAGTAGAGTTCCCTGTGCTATATAGTAGATTCTCATTAGTTATCTATTTTATACGTAGTAGTGTATATATGCCAATCCCAATCTCCCAAGTCATCCCACCACCACCCCTTCCCCCTTGGTATCCATACATTTGTTCTCTACGTCTGTGTCTCTATTTCTGCTTTGCAAATAAGATCATCTATACTGTTTTTCTAGATTCCACATATATGCATTAATATATGATATTTGTTTTTCTCTTTCTGACTTACTTCACTTAGTATGACAATCTCTAGGTCCATCCATGTTGCTGCAAATGGCATTGTTTCATTCTTTTTATGGCTGAGTAATATTCCATTTTATATGTATATACCACATCTTCTTTATTCATTCCTTTGTCGATGGACATTTAGGTTGCTTCCATGTCCTGGCTATTGTAAATAGTGCTGCAGTGAACATTGGGGTGCATGTATCTTTTTGAATTAGAGTTTTCTCTGGATATATGCCCAGGAGGATTTGTTGTTTTAATGAATGAATCAAAGTCATTTTACAGAGATTTGAGACGGTAAGTATCTCCATTCTGGAGATAGATTATCAACTAAGACCTGTAAAATTCCCAGGGTTGTCAAAAAATTCATCTGTTTCTCAAACATATTTGATGTATTCAACCAATCCATTATGGAAATTTGCGGGGGAATGCTGAGTCCCATTATCATAGACCAGAGAAAACATAGGCATGAACTTTACTGGCCATTCACATGTTGCTGTATTTTTATGAGTTTCCACAAATATCTCTTTTGTACTAGATTAGCATTTAATAGATCCCTTAAAACTCAGGTGTTCACTCCATACAATAGCATGGTTGGATGCAGAATTCTGTAAGCTGAATACTGCCTAGATATTGTTATCAATGGCAGTGTTTATGAAACTTGTATTTCTGATCAAACCATATTAGTACTGATGTAGGAATTAATAAACTAAAATGGCTTTTCTTTTGTTTTTAATTGAAGTATAGTTGATTTACAATGTTGTGTTAATTTCTGCTGTACAGCAAAATGATTCAGTTATACACATATATATATACATCTTTTTTATATTCTTTTCCATTATGGTTTATCACAGGATATTGAATATAGTTCCCTATGCTATACAGTAGGACCTTGTTGTTTATCCATTCTATATATAATAGTTTGCATCTGCTAATCCCAAACTCCCAATCCATCCCCCTTCACCCTCCTTGGCAACCACAATTCTGTTCTGTGTCTGTGAGTCTATTTCATAGGTAAGTTCATTTGTGTCATATTTTAGATTCCACATATAAGTGATATCATATGGTATTTGTCTTTCTCTTTCTAACTTCAATTAGTATGATAATCTCTAGGTCCATCCATGTTGCTGCAAATGGCATTATTTCATTATTTTTATGGCTGAGTAGGATTCCATTGTATATAGGTACCACATCTTCTTTATCCATTCATCTGTCGATGGACATTTAGGTTGTTTCCCTGTTTTGGCTACTGTGAATAGTGATGCTATGAACATATGGGTGCATGTGTCATTTTGAATTAGAGTTTTCTCTGGATATGTGCCCACGAGTGGGATTGCTGGATCATATGGCAACTCTATTTTTAGTTTTTTTTAGGAACCTCCATTCTGTTTTTCACAGTGGCTGCACCAACTTACATTCCCACCAACAGGGTATGAGGGTTCCCTTTTCTCCACACCCTCTCCAGAATTTGTTATTTGTAAACTTCTTAATGTTGGCCTAAAATGGCTTTTCTTTGTACAGGATGCTGCCAATACTGGGTCCAGCAAAGGCGTGTCAGCTCAGTGCCTGTTTGACTTGCTGCAGTCGCTGGAGGGGGAGACCATGGACATCCTAGACATCTTAGAGCTGGTCAAAGCTGAGAAGCCTCTTAAGTCATTAGGTAAAAGCAAAACTTGCCTTGGCATTCTTTTTCTTTTTGTAATCTTTCTTTTTTTAAACGACCTTATACTGAATATTTTGAGCTAAATCAAAATAGCAAAAATAAGTGGAACGGTGGTATAAATTAAATGAGTACATTTTCCTATCTCCTGTTTTTCTTAAATTTCTTGTAAATCTTAAAATGTAAAGGATTCTCTGCCATGAAAATTGTATTAAAAGGGGGGCTCAATAGACCACTGTAGTTTTCAGAAAATTGGGTTTTCCTGGGCAATTCTAAGTGAATAACCCTTTAAGACAGGCTTTTATTATCATGGAATGTCTACAATTAGAGGTATTCAAAGATGAAGTCTCATGTCTTACCTTACAGCATCCAAATATCCTTCTATTAGATGAGTTTTTTTAAACTACCAAAATAAAGCACTTTTATTTGTCATCTGATTATTCAAAAATAGAACAGAATTTTTAGTCCCTTTAGATGAGGATATTAAGTGTTCACAGTTTAGGAATAAAGTCTAACAAGGAAATGCCTACAAAATATAACTGGAAAGAAAGTGTTAGGAGTAATAAATTCTTCTTTATCCCTGGTGGAATCCACTCTGATTGTGTGCCTTGCCCTTCTGTCCCTTCAGATTTCTGCTATGGAAACGAAGACCTGACTTTCTCTATAAGTGAAGCCATTAAGCTCTGTGTTACTGTGGTGGCATATGCTCCTGAGTCATTCAGAAGGTAACTGCAGCCTTTTATTCCATGCCTTGTAATAAGTAAGTATGGCAAAGGAAATAAAATTGAGCGACTACAAAGGTTATGTTTGCTAAGATTAGCCTGTAATGTTCTGGCAAGTACGTTTTCAAAAACTAAATTTAGGGAACTTGTCATAGCAGAGGTTATGAAAAATATAGTAAATCTTCATCAATTTGAAATCCCCTAATTTGGAAATTATGAAGTGGCTAAGATGTTTTAGTCTTGTTTAGGAAATATCCTCACATGTAACAGAAATTAATAGCAAATAAAATTTCAGAAAAGACATTTAAGCTACTTAAGAAAACTCATTTCAAGGAGCAATAAGAACTTGTGTCACACAAACAGCAGGAAGAGAAATCTTGCCTGTCATTTTGCCAAGTGCAAGGAATCCAAAGGACTCACCATGGCGAGTGTTATTTCCAGTTCTAGGGTGTTGGCTCTGACCAGATTTTATTTACATATATATATAGTGTGTATATATATATATATATATATATATATATATACATACACTATATATATATATATAGTATATATATATATAATATGTTAAATAAAAATACCTCATATCTCTATTAAAATAGGTATTCTAAAGGCAGAGACAATAATTCAAATGAATTATGGATAACCGCTTTTTATGTAATGTACATGCTTAAAGATAAGAGCTGCATTCCTTCCAAATGTTCCATAATTCTGGCTTAATCAGCCCTATGGCCTTCCCTCCTCTTCCTCAATTCAACATTAGGAAATCTCTCCCTCTTAATTTCTCAATCTACTTTGATTTTTTCATGTAATATCTAACCCATAAACAAAGCATTCGATTGTATTCTACCATATTCTTAGTATATGTGATATATCTTCCAATGCCTAATATAGTGCTGTATTCCATATATAACAATATAAATTTATAAAATGAATGAATCAGATAACAGCCAACTGTTTCCATGTTCCTATTTCTCTCATTTGTAATTCTTCTTGCATAGGCCTTTGTGGTGAGAAAATAGTTTGAAAATAAAAATATGGATTAGTCATAAACATATCACAGTTTTTGCCTCAACTTTCTTTCTTTTGAGAGAAGGATGGGCTAATGAATTATTCCAGGGTATTGCTCCTCTGTTAAGACTGCCAGATCTAGGTAGGTTATCACCTTTCTAATGTAAATTCAAAGAACTGAGACTACAAACTCCTGTCACACAGGAATAAAATATAAATCTTATCTGAGTGTGAACTCAGGGTTGCTGGCTCTGATCTAACCCAGAGTCACGCGCATTGGTCCTACCTCCTGGGACCAGCTGTTGATCTCATGTGCTCAGGGTGAGTTGTGACTCTGACTCAGGTTTGAAGTGAAAGGGAAGATGACTAGTGATTCTCCTGGTGAAACCAACAGAGAACTAGCGCTTGTCTATTCATACCAGTCCAGTTCTAACCTAATACAAGCCTATCCTGAAACATCTATAGATCGGGTGATTTATGGAACACTAGATAGAAATGTATAACTGATCTGAAAGTAAAGCATAGTGATCTACTTGGGATCTAAAGATTGCTTGGGGCTTACAGATTTCCACATTACTTAAAATTCTTAATTCTCTCTGTTTGATCAAATCTCCTTATCAGTTTCTCATATTCCTCCTCAAATCTACTTCTGGTTTTCAATTAGTGTAGAAAAATATTGACCCAACTATTGCAACTCTACTATTTTAACCCAGTGGATACTTTGACCCCAAGGATATTTTGACTACGACTTTATAAATACAAACATCTTAATCATAATTATACCTATAAATTTTCATTAAGGGATTATTTTCTAATTTATTTATGCCAGTTTAATTCCTCAGTCAGTTTATGTTGCAAATAAGCCACTTTCAACTTTTCATTTTATCAAAGTTCTTTTCATTGAAATTATTTTCTTTCTATGTAAAATTTATAATAAAGTTTACATTCATTGATTAAGTTTTAGGGGAGGACTTATTTTATCTTGGTCTGTATCAAACTTTGCTCATTAGAGTTTCTGTCATTTTGAGCTGTTGTGTTTCAGGTTTTGATCATTACTGCAGTTTCCCCAAGTCAAATTTCAACGGTGCCCATAAGATGTAGTTTCTTAATGTAGAATAAACATCTGAAGCAGGATGTTTATTAAATAACAAATTCTACTCAGTGGTGTTTTAACAATTGTCAGTTTTATTTTATATCAAAAATTCTTTCAGAATAGTTATTATGAATTGGATAAAAGACTGGGAATTTGTATTTTTAAAGTAATCAATGAAAAAAGCAGCAGACAACTGGTCAGGTATTCCCAGACTGCTTTATTATTCGGGATTAATCTTAGAGTGTAATACCATTATTTAATATTCTTCCATCAGTTTGTTCATTATGTACTATCTCCTCACACACCGCTGGGACAGAGAGAGCAGATGGTAGGGTCAGAACATCCCGCTGACAAGCAGGGTGACCTCCGCCCCATCTCCACAGTGCATTTCCCAGTCCCCCCACTGCAAATAATCTCTCCTGCCTCTGGTCCCAGAGCAATTTATTTTGAAGTTTTCCCTTATGAAATCTGTTGCTCAGCCATCTCAAGGCGCTGAGCCAAGTCACCTTACCTCATCCTGCCTCTTACCTACCAAGTCTGTAAACATGAGAAGCCACCTGAAGAAAATGCATACAGTTTATTCTTACCACAGCCTCTGGTGGAAATCTCTGCTCTCCTTGCCTGAGCTGAATATCACAGCCATCTTCAGGGTCCTCTTTATCCTTTCTCAGAAACTCCTGAAACGGTGTCAGTCATAAGAGTTGAGGTTTCTGGAAGGATCCAGTGAAGAGTGACTTCTTTCTTGCCCATGTTCTAAATAAATGAAGGAAGGCAGAAGGGAGGTTGAAATATCACCTTTAGTGTTGAGAAAGATTAAGTAGGGGAATCAGGCTTGAAACAGGACTGCCCTGAGAACTCACAGCAGAGGGTAGAAGCCCTGTTGGCAGGCTTTTCCAGGAAAAGGAAAAGAGCTGAGATGATTTTGCCCAGTATGTCTATATCAATTTGCCCCTCAGGTAAGTCTTTGTCTTCTCCAGAACCGAATGAGTAAAAGGGCAAAGAGGAACCGGGATTGATATTGACTGAACTCTCTCTGCTGGAAGGAAACATAAGGAATGAATAAAATATGCCACCCCCATCCCCAACATTCCCACCTTATTCTGTCTTAAGCAATGGGGATTAAACTCTGTGCCCCTGGTCAGCCCTGCCTCAGGAGGGCAAATCTACCCTCTCTCAGGACGGTCTTCATCCTACTTTCCTTAGGCTCCTCCTACAATATCACAGCTCCATAAAAGGTTCAAAAATGGATCAAAACCTTACATTAACTTAACTCCAAGTCCACTCGATTCCTAAGTGTCAAAATACCCCCTCTTCTATTTTCCACTCCAAGCATATCCAGTACCATGTTATTAGGGTGTATCAGAGATTCTGCAGTGCGATTAAGTGATAACATGAAGACACTGCAATAACAAAATGTATAAAGATTCTCTAATATTAAAATGCTAGCAGCATAGAGAAGCCCTAAATTTGACTAAAAAATCCTCGCATTATCAAATTCCCAACGAGCTATGAAAGACACTTTCAAGTGAAAATCCAAACACATTGAAATCAAAAGGAATTAGAGTTCACAATCAAATTCTCTTGTCATTGTGAGTTAAAAGCCAGAGTCCAATACTGTTAAGCTAAATTAAAAATTTTTTTAAAAACCTCCCTAATACCTTATTCTGCTCTGTTTAAGCCAGAACTGTTCTTAATTCCTGGGTGGAGCCAGGATCTCTTAAGTAGTTGTTCCCTAGGATATGTTTCATGGGAATAAATTCAATTCTTACAAGACTTCAACATTTGTAATTCCAAGTCCCTGTTGTGCTTAAAATTTTTTTTAAATAATGTATTTTATTTAAATATTCATACAAGAAAGTTTTTACAAATTGTAATTTTATAGTTTAATGAATGTATACAAAGTTAACACATCAGTGTAGCTACCACTCAAATTGAAAAATCAGATAAAAGAACCACTATCCTGATTTCCAACACCACAAATCAGCTTTGTCTGTTTCTGAACTCAACTACGATGAAATAATATGGTAGGTATTTTTTAATGTCTGACTTCTGTTATTCAGTATTATTTCATGAGATTCATCCACGCAATTGTGTATAACAGTAGTTCTTCATTTGTCTATAATATTCTATTGTATGGCTATGCTGCAATTTGTGTATTTCTTCTTTTGTTGACAGACATTAATGTTGTGTCCAGTTTGAAGCTCTTACCAGTAATGCGGCAGTGAACATTTTTATATATGTCTTTGTGTGCACATATATATGCGTCTCTGTGGGTAGAAATGCTCTGCTAGATCATGGAGTATGTATATGTTGTGCTTTAGTAGATACTACCAAAAAGTTTTCCAGAGGGCTTGTATCAGTTTTCACTCCCAACAGCAGTGTATAGGTGTTCCAGTACTCTACAGCCTCATCAACACTTTGTCAGTCTTTTTTATTTTAACTGTTTTTGTTGGCTTATAGTGATATCTCATTGTGGTTTTGATTTCCATTTCCCTCCAGCACATTAAAAGGTTTGGAAGCCTTTCAGATTGTTTACTGGAATTTGGATATCTACTTTTGCAAGGGGCCTATTGAAGTATTCTACCCATTTTTAAATGAGATTATCAGTCATTTTTATTTGATATATAGAATTTTTTTTAAAGAGTGTGATATAAATACATTTTAACTTATATAGAGTGGTGTTGCTGGTAAACATTTAACAAGCAGCTCTCTGGGAGAAAGAGTTTCTAATGTGTAGCATTGCCAATTTGCCAATATGTAGCAATTGCTGAATACAAAATACCAGAATGACATCATTGAATGTGGTGTTGGAAAGAGATGCTTATGGTAGGCCTTTTTCTTTAAATTAATTTTTATTGGAGTATAGTTGCTTTATGATGTTGTTAGTTTCTGCTGTAAAGCAAAGTGAATCAGCTATACATATACCTCCTCTTTTTTGGATTGCCTTCACATTTAGGTCACCACAGAGCATTGAGTAGAGTTCCCTGTGCTATACAGTAGGTCCTCATTAGTTATCTATTTTACACGTAATATCAGCAGTGTATATCTGTTAATCCCATCCCAATCTCCAAGTTCATCCCGTCCCCCCCTTCCCCCTTGGTATCCATACGTTTGTTCTCTATGTCTGTGTCTCTATTTCTGCTTTGCAAATAAGAACATCTATACCATTTTTCTAGATTCCACATATGTGTTAATATACAATATTTGTTTTTCTCTGTCTCTCTTACTTTACTCTGTATGAAGTGAAGTCTTACAGTCTCTAAGTCTGTCCACATCTCTGCAAATGATCCAATTTCGTTCCTTTTTATGGCTGAATAATATTCCAGCGTATATATGTACCACATCATCTTTATCCATTCCTCTGTTGATGGACAATTAGGTTGCTTCCATGTCCTGACTACTGTAAATAGTTCTGCAGTGAACCTTGGGGTGCGTGTATCTTTTTGAATTATGGTTTTCTCTGGGTATATGCCTGGTAGTGGGACTGCTGGGTCATATAGTAGTTTTATTTTTAGTTTTTTAAGGAACCTCCATACTGTTCTCCATAGTGGCTACATCAGTTTACATTCCCACCAACAGTGTAAGAGTGTTCCCTTTTCTCCACACCCTCTCCAACATTTGTTGCTTTTGGATATTTTGATGATGGTCATTCTGACAGGCGTGAGGTGATACTGCTTTGTAGTTTGGATTTGCATTTCTCTAATAATTAGTGATGTTGAACATCTTTTCATGTGTTTCTTGGCCATCTGTATGTCTTCTTTGGAGAAATGTCTGTTTAGGTCTTCCACCCATTTTTTGATTGGGTTGTTTGTTTTTTTGATCTTGAGCTGCATGAGCTGTTTGTATATTTTGGAGATGAATCCTTTGTCAGTTGCTTCAGTTGCAAATATTTTCTCCCATTCTGGGGGTTGTCCAGTAGGCCTTCTTGACTGGTTATTTAGCCATTCCAGCACACCACTGGCTACTTGTATTTCAAATAACATCTCTTACTCTGTGGTTTATAATTTTACTCCCCTAAGGTTGTCTTTTGATGAACAGAGCTCTTCATTTTAATACAGTCCAATGTGTCACCTTTTTCCTATTTTTTAGTGCTTTCTGTGTCCTCTTATGAAATCTTGGCTAACCCAAGGTTATGAATATATCCCCTTATATGCTAGGTGCTTCTTTGTTTTTATCTTAACATTTAGATTAACAAGCCATCTGGAATTAATTTTGGTATGGTGTAAAGTAAGGGCCAAAGTTTATTTTTCCCATAGACGTATCTAATAGGCAATAGACCCAAGCACCATTTATAGAAAAGACTAGCCTTTCCCCATTGCATTGCAGTGTCATCTTTGTTATAAATCAAGTATCTGTGGATTTGTTTTGGACTCCTTATTCTGTTTCACATATCTATTTGTCTATCCTTGCACCAATATTATACTGTCTTAATTATGATAGTTTTATAAAAAGTCTGATGTCTGGTAATAGGTCCTTTTACAATTATGAAATTTCCATCTTTAACTTACCTTGAAGTCTGTTTTGTCTGACATAATAGTTACATCAGCATTCTTTTGGTGTTTGCTCTTACTTTCACCTTCAACATTTCTATATACTTATATTTAATGTCTCTCGATAGCAAAATATAGCTGAATTTTTAAATTATTCACACTAGTAAGCAGCCATTTTCATACCTGTATCACAGTGACTGTTTCCAGACCAGACTCTTGCTGTAAACTTGCTTAAGCTTTAAGAAGCCAGACTCCTAAAGAAGGGTTTTATTTTGTTTGTTTGTTTGTTTTGCGGTACGCGGGCCTCTCACTGCTGTGGCCTCTCCCGTTGCGGGGCAACAGGCTCCGGACGCGCAGGCCCAGCAGCCATGGCTCACGGGCCCAGCCGCTCCGTGGCATGTGGGATCTTCCGGGACCGGGGCACGAACCCGTGTCCCCTGCATCGGCAGGCGGACTCTCAACCACTGCGCCACCAGGGAAGCCCAAGAAGGGTTTTATTTTGTCTCAGATTTGTTACAAATTACTGAATGGAAGCTTTGTTGATTTTTGTGAAGCTTGTTTCTCTGATTGACTGAATAGCTCTACCTGTCACCATTCTATTGTTCTTTCAACCAATTGTATATATGCTAACTCTCCCAAGTAGATAATATTCTTCCTAAATGCAGAATTTTATCACCTTTTATCCGGTGCTTAATTAACTAATTAATTAGTGTTGGTAGATATTTCCAGCAGCTTTAATTACTCTTGACTTGGGTGGTGTGGGAAGGGGATTCAGAGTTTTCCAACTCTCTAGAGGCTTTTCATTTCTCCATGCTCCAGAATATCAAGTAGGGTGTAAAAACGTGATTTGGTTTTCTATCTGTTGATTAAAGTCTTCAGATGCTGATGGTCTTGGAAGCTTTGGTGCCATGTTACCTACAAAAGCTAAAGAGGCAAACGTCACAAGTGGAGACAGGGCCCGCTGCCCGAGAGGAGATCGCCGCCATGGCTGCTCTTGCGACATCCCTGCAGGCCCTTTTATACAGCGTAGAGGTCCTCACCAGGTAATCCCATCGGCAGAAATAGCCACAGCCATAAGCTCTATGTATCCACCAAAAAGATGAAAATCTCTAAAACCCAGTTTTTATTTACAGATAACTTATCCAAACTCAGCTGAAACTGCAAGCATTCCCTAAGTTGTTTAGATAAATAGTGCTCAGTACTCTAAATAATAATAATGATGATGACAATAATAATAATAATTGTTAGTATTATTATTCTACCATGATTGCTAAACACACATTTACATGTAGCTTGCCGAGCTTCTGTGGCAGTTTTAACCCAGCAGTAAACAAATCTTTTGTAAAAGGGCTAATTTAGTGAATATGAAAATGTGATCCACGTTTTTATTAGCTCTTTTTTTACGAGACATGAAATGTCTGCAATTTCAGCTAAGCATTCTTTTATTATTTTCCTGTTTGTAAAGAGCTGGGTTTATTTTTACTTTAATTTCAGAAGCTACATAACAAACATAAACTACAAAATTTTATTCTAATGCTAGAATTGATAGATTCTCTGTCGGACAGGACTCAAGAGTGCTGAGAGAGGGGACTGAGGGATTTAGGATTGGAAAGGTCAGTTGACACCAGGGTTCAGCCCTAAACAAAGTTCCAAGAAGTTAGCCCTGTCACCAGATTCTTGGGTACAGAAGCAGAGGAATTGAGCTGCCCTGTGTCAGGGAAGGGGTGGATAGATGAGGCCTGGGCAGGCGTTGGCGGGTGGGGGCATTAGCGGGGCCGGGGGGATGTCTGTGTACCAAGGATAGAGCGAGTGGGGGTGGTAGATGCAGGACACTATATAGTGATAGGCTTTCCTTTTCCATTGTCATCTAAAATCAGCTGGAAGGAGACGTTCCTCCCCACGGGTGGAGGTGGGGAAGCCGTCTTTCTGCATCGATGTCTTTGCTTCTCCATCCCATTTGGCCATATTGTTAGCCTAAAATTCTATGGTTTACTCCCGTCACAGGCACCAACTTCTCCAGCCCCATCTTGCTCAGTTGGTGAGGGTACTCGCTGCAACCCCTCAGTCCAGGGAGGACTTTTCCAGTGTGCACCAGCAAGTGAGAGGGGGAGTGAGATTGTTATTCATTAAGTTCAACCTATGTTTAGTTCCTAATCTTGCACTACATTGCCAACCGAGGCAAGCAGAACATAGCCCAAAGCCTTGGGTAGACTCTCTGCTGAACTGCCCGCGTGCATCTAATCTGAAGGGATGGGAAGCAGTGGAATAGGGAGCAGTGACAAACTGCCGGTGAGAAACTGCCCCCAGTGCTTTGATGATGGTTTCCTGGAAGTCTGAGGGGGAAGAACATTACAAGGAGAAATACGTGACTTACACCTTCCCTTCTGCCCCCACCTGGTTATGTCACTAGTGCCTTCCTGTGACTAGAGGAGAGAAGAGCAGTCAATTTCCTTCAAGGGCCACTTGATTCTCTCTGTTTACAGTACACAGTGTTGATGCTTTCTATTCCCTTTTATAAGGATACGTCAATTAACTTCTCCAAAACTGACTTACCAAAAATTCCACAAAGAGTTATGGATGGAGCTCTGACATTTGAAATTCTGTGGCCTTAAATATTCCCATGTATTTAATATTCAAAAGATAGAGTGGAAGGCTAGCCTCATTGGCTGGCTGTAATTATTCACAACAAAATTGGCTCCATTGTTTTTACGAAAAGAAAATGAGAAGAATACCACTTCACTTCCACAGTCCTAATGTAGTTGATCATGAAAAAAAAGTAACCGTTCTATAGGTAGTAACACAGAAACAAGTATATTACAAGTGTATCAGTATTAGTTTTCCATTGTTGCATAGCACATTACCACAAACTGAGAGGTTTAAAACTGAATGCGTTTATTATCATCGCATGGTTCTGTAGGCCGGAAATCTGGGCAGGCTCAGCTGATCTGTCGGCTCAGGGTCTTGCAAGGCCAAAATCAAGATGTCAGTTGGTCTGAGCTCTTACTGGAACGATCTGGGGAAAAATCCACTTCTCAGCTCATTCAGGGTTTTGGCAGAATCCAGCACCAGGCCGCTTTAGGTCTGAGGTCCCCTTTCCTTCCTGACCGTCAGCCAGGGGCCACTCTCTGCTGTTGGAAGACATTTGTATTCCCTCTTACAGGGCCCCGCAGTTGTCCAGCCAGCAGGGATGCCTTGAGTCCTTCTCAGACTTCAAATTTGTCTGCCCCTCCCAAGAGAAACTTTCTGCTTTTTAAGGGCCGGTGATGAGATTAGGCCTACCCAGATGGTTTCCCTTTTGCCATATGATGTAGCGTGATAACGGGAGTAACACCAGTGGGGCAGTGGGGGGAAGGTCTTGGGGCTAGCTTTAAATGCTGCCCCCTACAGCAAAGGCACCGAAGAGACGGTCTGGAGCGATTTTTAAAGGTTACTCTCCAGCCACAACCAGCATACAGAAAATGAGCATGACAAAAGCAAGCTTTAAAGAGTTCGTGTAAGCAATTGCTTTGAAAGGGCTTATCTTCCTTTCCACGTCACAGATGACACAGACGCAGTTGACCTATATATGAGCTCATTTGAACCTGTTTCTTAGCATCTATAATAAATTACTGACTTAACAATAGATACTAATTTACTCACTTCCCTGGGTAGTCTTAGGTACAATTTTTTTTTAACAACTTTATTGGAGTATAATTGCTTTACAATGGTGTGTTAGTTTCTGCTGTATAACAAAGTGAATCAGCTATACGTATACATATATTCCCATTTCCCTGCCATCTTGCAACTCCCTCCCACCCTCCCTATCCCACCCCTCTAGGTGGACACAAAGCACCGAGCGGATCTCCCTGTGCTATGTGGCTTCTTCCCACTAGCTATCTATTTTACATTTGTTAGTATATATAAGTCCATGCCACTCTCTCCCTTCGTCCCAGCTTACCCTTCCCCGTCCCCGTGTCCTCAACTCCATTCTCTACGACAGGAATAAAGACACAGACTTAGGTCTAACTTTGACTAGAAAGATTCTTTCCTTGTTTGATAGTTTCTCAGAAAAACAGAGTGGTTGATTATGGAGCAGGTGGCCTAAAGGATATGTACACCCTTATCTTTTTTTTTTACTGTCTAGAATGGCTAACTTCCTGGTACTTGTGGAATTGAAAAAATGAACTCTTAACTCACTTAATCAGCACAGACTTAGAAGTCTGATTTCATGAATGTCTGGTCTGAAGAGTACTTGTTTATTACTCAGGACCAAGAAATGAAAGACCTTAAATCGTGGTGAGCTTATAGACCCTTGGGAATCAGTGTTCCCTTTAAAGTGCCTTCCAGGACAGACTCAGCAGGGGAGTGTGACAGAAAAGGCCAAAGTCTTTGTAAGCTTCTAGCTTCAAGCTTGTGTGAGCTGCAGTAACTTGAGGGTTTCATAAGTGTCTCCACTTCTGTGGTTTTGTTACTGTTGTTGCAGGCCCATGACGGCCCCCCAGATGAGCAGGTGTGACCAGGGTCATAAAGGGGCCACCACAGCCAACCACACCATGTCGTCTGGGGTGACTACCAGGTAATTCACTGGCTTTATTCTGTGGTCTCTCAATGTCGTACAACCTGAATCTCAGCTGTTGCGAGTGAAAGGAATCCTGAAAATAGTCGATATTGAGCGCGAAAATCTCCAAGGAAGAGAGAAGAAGGTGAGAGTTGAGAGTTACACGAAAACACCTAGGCTTTTTTTTTGCAGTTGTCACCTTTGTAAATGAAGAGAAGTAAGCCACCTTCAGAAAGTGGCATTTATGTCCATTTGTTTGTGTGAACATGCAAGATGTTCTCTGCCTCCTGGGTGGTCTTTGAACTATTCCAGTGTTGTTTCACTTGCCTCCAAGAAAAAGGCAAAGGAAACAATAATAATCAGGAGGTGGCTTCTCATTCCAGGGCAGTTGTGCAGAGTCACCTTTCTTTCATCTGGACAGATTTTCTACAGACATTTCATCCAAGCTTTGACTTAGCCCCTTAACTGATGCTTTCACGGTTGTTGACTTAATCACCTTCCCTCTTGGTGCAACTCAGACACTGGCTGCACTAGTTAATACTTTACTTCATTCTCCCTGGGTTAACCTCTAGGTACTCTGAGACAAAAATAAAAGTTTAATTAGCTTCCTCCTCCAGGGAAGATTTTAAGACACAGCAAACCCAAAATCAGCTAGGGAGAAAGTTCTCTTTTCCCAGTATGGAGTAATTAGCAGAGATTATAAGGAAAAACTGAATAATTTTCTATTTTTAAGTGTATATCATTATTTATGTAAATTCCCTGCTTATCATATATTTATGTTAAAAATGAAATAAGTTCCAAACTATCACATCAGATATAAATTATCTGATGTGATAGTGTTACCTCAATTTCTCACATTAGGGGAAAATGATTATATGGGTTTTGAGTAATGAGTTTAAGGGATATTTAGGGGTTTCTCTAAGCTTACTGAGCTATGTTCAACTCTAGATGAAAGGTGCCCAGAGAAAGAGGGTTTCTAAAGTCCTCTTACCCATCACTCATAAAACAAGAAGTCTCCAGAACTGAAAGGAAGTCAGAAGTCAGCCATATTTCTTCCTAAAATATGGCACATGATGTTAAAACTGCAACTTAGATTCACCTCACCTTGAAAGTTTTCCAAAATTTCCTTCATTTGACCGCATTCCATGAGTTTGTGTGTGTTTTTAGAGTATCTGTCTTTCTACAAATTATCTGGCAGTGGAACGGCGTTCATGGCAGCTATAGTTGCAGCATATGTGGTAGGCAAATGAAAGATCAAGATTTTATATTTTAGGATTAGCATGTGTGTATTAGGGAGCTTACCAAAATGTGTAACTTCAAAGGCTTCTCATAAGAAAAAGCCGTTAAGAGGCCCCACCACAGGGCCCCTGCTCTTACTCTGATAGTTACGCAGACTGTTTTTCTGACTCCCAGGTACCAGGAACAAGGCGCCAAACTGCACTTTATCAGGTACAGAAAGACAACCTAATTTTGTACTGATTCTGTCATCTTGTGATAATTTGCCTTGTGAGCTGGGTTATGGTTCCGTCAGCTTTCTTTTCATTCAGGCATGGCATCCCACTTCTGCATAAATCCTCAGGAAGTGGCTAATGGAAAGCCAGTACAGTTTGGGATGACAGCCTCTTGCAGGATGATGAACTTTCTCGATCCTTCCGATAAGGTTCTCCTAGGCCCCGCCCTGCTGCTTCATTAACTTGCATGTAATCTAAGGCATCATATTTTTCTTCAGTGTGATACCTTCCTCTCATAGTTGCCCCCCATACACCTTCCCAGACCCCCAGTTAAACTTTTATAATTCCCCAGAGAAAACCTGCACTTACTGGAGGAAGGGCAGGGCCTTCCCAGAGAGGAACTAGATGAACGGCTTGCTCGGGAGGAGTTCAGAAGACCCCGGGAGTCGCTGCTGAACATCTGCACCGAGTTCTACAAGCACTGCGGGCCCAGGCTGAAGATCTTGCAAAACCTGGCCGGGGAACCGCGGGTCACTGCCCTGGAGTTGTTGGACGTGAAGTCCCACATGAGGTACTGTCCTCATTTTCTCTGCCCCTGAGTGTGCACACAGCTTGGGCCGGATGTCTGGAGGGGGTTGGGGAGGGCTGTATGCGGGGGGGATAAATGTGGGGCAGGATAAAAACTCGAAACTGGCTGAAATTGATTGGTCTCCTGTAGCCTGGATGCACATCAAACAGGGCCCTCTGGGAAAATAGATGTTAAGTCTGTGGAAAACGATCTTAGCGTGGACAGGGGGAAATGTTCTTAAAGACAGAAAAGCCCAGTTGATATATTTGCTCCTTAATAAAAGAGAGTGAAAGGGAGATTGCATCACCTGAATTCATAGGGAAGTAACTTTCTTCCACATGCTCTTTACTGCACAAATTCTAATTTTTCACAAGAATCCAATGTCCCCTCTCTCTTATTTTACACAAAAAAATGCACAGCTACTTTCTGCTTGAGGACTTGCTCTGCCGCTACACTATCTGAGGACTCAGTGAGGGGCCTGCAGGGAAGGAGCAGTTTTAACTCGGAGCCACACTTTGGTTGAGTCTGAGATCCCTTATATACATGTTGTGCATGATAGCCTTCCAATGTTTCGAAAAAGTGTCCTGGTAAAAATTCTGCACTAGATGAGGCCAGTCATCCTTTAAAAATTTGTACTCCTGGTATGTCAGGGAGAGCCCCCAGAATTATATCTCTGTGCACTCATGTTTCCTTCTTCCTAAGGAGATGTCATGTCACTTGTTGCTTCAAACTATAAAGGCTGTGTCTGTATTTTCAGATTCTTAAAAGGAACATGATTCCAGATGATCTTCTATTTAGATTTGTAACAGTTTTTAAAGCATCATAAAAATTCCTTGAAAGGAAAATTCCATTGGTAACAAAACATTCACTTGGAAAGTTTAGTATATCTGTAAAACTAAAGGTAGGCTTAAGTTCTAGCCTTTCAGAAATAACATTGCAATTTGGCAAAACACACCAATTTCCTGATTATCGTCTCTTTTTTTTCTTAAAATGATTCCTCGAAAAATTTAGAAAGTACTAAGTGAGGGAAAATGAGAAGCCAGAAATGTCTGGAGAACACAGGCTCTTTATCCTCCAGACTGATTTCACATTCTCTGAGTTACTGGCACACACCCAGAAGTCTAGAGCGTCACATGTGTTCACACTCCCTGCTGTGCTGTGATGGGGAAGAACTTATTTTGCACTAAGAATTTCAGCTCCTGCACTGGGAAAGGCGAGGAAAGTTTGAAGTGTTAGGCTTCTGTTGCCATAGTAACTCCGTGCTCCATTCAGGTCATCTCCCCTCCTTTCCTACTGATAATGACTAGCTGATCTGAGTAATTGTACATCACATTCCCAGAGTCAGAGAATCACTACTATCGACAGACATTTTGTGGGAGAAAGGGGAAAAGATTCCTGAAAGATAGGAGAGCGAGTGAAAAGTGGGGGGAGGGGAGGGGAGAAATCATGATAATGGGTTAGTACCTGTCTTATGTATATCTGTATCTACACCCAAGGCATTTGGAGAGAGGGGAGAGCATGAGTTAGAGAGGCCTGGAGCTCCCTCTAGAGGTCAAACCCTATTAAAGGTTAAATGAGCTCTAGGAGTTCAAATGATTAGCTCTGTGCCTGGCACAGATCTAGGGCTCAATAGATGCTAACGCTAATGAGAAAGATCCACATGCTGTCCTAGACACTGGGGATGTAAAATAAAGCCCTAGTCCTCAACATGATCACAGTTCAATACGTGAGGCACACGTAAGAATACAGAATGCGGTGTTGCAAGCACTATATATCACATGTGTTTATGTGTTTATTATTTTACCAAGTACTTGAGGCAACTCAGAAAATTATATGATGCAAAGGGATACAATTTACAAATTAGAGAGTCGAAACAATGTGAAAAATTAGCAGGGAAATAGTTTATGATAAGATTAGCATGGGAAATCTACGTGATTTTATCACATTAGATACTATTGATGAACTGTAAATTTGACTTTGGGCTTCTGAGTTATCAAAACAACAGGGAGAAATGGCTGATCATAAAATCACAGTGTCAATAAGATAAAACACAACTAGGTTTTTTTGGTAAAGCAAAATCCCCTTTTTAAAATATGAAGAACAAGAAGTATCTCCTGGTTGAGGCATGTTGAAAGGAAAGAGCAGAGTGATGGGCAGCAGCCTCACCAACATCCCATCACAGGTAAAGGGCCAGTCTCACGTGACTGGATGCCTGGAGGTACCAAAAGCTGCAGAACGTCACGATGCAATTCAGCAAGAGTAACCTGTATGAGCACAGGTATTTCATGGCCTGGATCTATGGGAAGGTAGGCAGAATTTTTTAATGCCAGAGACTATTTAGACGACATCTCCTCTGTTCATGCTATTTCACACCAGCTCTCAATAAAACTGGACCCGTCACGTTCTCTGGCCAAACAGAGTTTGCTGAGTTCCACATGTTTTGACCCTACACCAAAGCACAGGGTATAGTTAAGGTTTTCTTTTGTAAATCAAGTACACATTTGGCTGTGTGTCAAAGTCAGAGCTAAATATATAAATTTTAGAATTGGGGACCTATAGGTAGTATTTAAAGTCCTAAGAATAGATAGTATCCATCAAGGATAGTATCCATGATTTTTTTTTTTAAAAGAAATGGGACGATATAAAAGATAGAGGAGATAATTGCAAGAAGTACTCGATGTGGATCAAGGAGCCAAGAAGGAGTGTTGAGGCAATCTGTACCCCTGCATTTGCAGAAGTTATGATTGGCTGCAAGGCTCTCAAGTAAAACATTCTTGATTAGATAGAGTTTCTACCCTAAAGGAATTTATTACCTCATTTTCTCAGACCAAAGCTGCCACAGCAGCAGAATAGCAGGACAGTAAGCTCTGCAAATGAATTTTTCTCTCTCTCCCCCCTCGCCCACCTCTCTCCAACTCTCCCTCTTTCCTTTCTCCCCCTCCGTCTCTCCCTTGTGTTCTCAAGATTTTCATGTGATAGTACAGCAAAGACTATATTAAAGGAAATTTTTGTTTTATGCTGGAAGCATATTCATTTTGTAACATGACCAGAGATGAGAGAAATTCAGTTAATAATCCATCAGATGACACAAATCCAACTCTAAGTATTGTTTTCAAGCTTGAAATAGATCAGTTATTTCTCTAGCATTTCTTAAGGTTACCTACAAGATAACAAGGGAAAAGAAATATGTGTATATACTAGATTTGTTGTGGTGGTCACTTCATGATGTATGTGAGTCAAATCATTGCGCTGTACACCAAGAAATATGTGTATATAGATATACTTTTATCTGTCAATCAAACGACCTGAAAAGTAAAGCATTATTTTCTGCATGGCACATTTGTGAGAAAGAGATAAACAAAAGAGTGTGAAGACTGTTTAAAACGATTTCTTTAAAACACACACACTCACACACAATTTCTAGAAGGACAAGGTGTATGTTCAGTCTGGAGAGAGTATGAGTGGGGATGAAGAGACAGTGACTGTTGATAGTGAAGGGTTGCCATGGAGAAGATGGATTGAATTCATGCTTCCAGATGAAGCCTCATAGGAAAATACTGAGGGAATTTGGGGACCTAATATGAGGAGAGCTTTTCACAGTGTGGATGTCCAAAGATGGAATGAGCTGCCTCATGCAGTGGTGAATCCTCCATCCATGGCACTAGTCACACAGAGCAATTGTAGAGCAGTCCATGTGGTAGAGGGGCAAGGGCCTAGCTCTGATTCCTATACCAGAGTGCCTGTCAGAATCACCTGGGGTGCTCTTAAACTGTAGTTCTTTTTAAGCATTTGTCCTGTCTCTCTTGGAGTAATCAAAAGGACTTCTTATTAAAATGCTATAGTTAATACATGGAAAAAAAGGAACGATACAATATTACCATTGTACTACTTCTGATGAGTTGAGGAATCTGTGCAGTGATCACTAGTAGCCACTGACATCATGAAGAGTGACAGCTGGGAATCACGTACGTCCTGAGGAAAGTACACATCGCCTATGAAGGACACATACCAGAAAATCAAAACCTAATCTGATCTAGCCCCTGGATCTAACTACCAATTGAATTACATACAGGAGAAATAGGATAAATTAAATGACACCATGGAGATTCAGCAAAATCCAGAGTGCAGGAAATGCTACAGGACCAACAGCTAATTTCTCCAACAAATAAATTACTAGATGTCAAAACAAGAGCAGAAGAGGGGGAACCTACACATTGAAAAGACTTAAGAGATATATCAACCAACTGAAATGTATGGGCCTTATTGTGTCCAGGTTTGTTTTTTAAAACGTTTATTTACAAGTTATGAGATAATGTGCCAGAATGTTCCCAGTTTAGGGAGTCAGTGTGCTGGAAGGAGGGTGATTAACATGATGCTGTGTGGGAAAATTCTCATGGTGGCTTTCTAAGCTTATTCTTTAAAAACAAAACAAAACATTTTAGGTTGGCAGAAATTGCACACTCCCTTCTGAAGTTGGCACCATACGACACCCAGACAATGGAGAGCCGTGGGCTTCGACGCTACATCATGGAGATGCTCCCTATCACCGACTGGACCGCCGAGGCAGTGAGGCCGGCCCTTATCCTCATTTTAAAGAGACTGGATAGGATGTTCAACAAAATTCATAAGATGCCTACTTTGAGGTGAGGAGGCCTCCTAGTCAGCTGTTGGTATTACAAGCTTCAAACTTCAAGTTTGTCGTTTGTGAAGGTGGTGGATCAATCCGCAGTTGAATGAATGGCTCAAAAGTGTTCGGTTGGTTATATGTGCAGAGCTAATCAGGTATACGAAAGCATAAGTAGCAGGGTCTATATTTTGAGGAAATAACATATTCTTCAAAAAACTATATTTATCTTGAAAAATCTATTCACTTCTTAGCTATCAGTTTCCTTATCTGACACACATAAGAAATTCAATGTGTATCCTTCAATTCCTTTTAAAGTAAGGCAAGCTATGCCTTATAAATTAAACAACTAAGGAGAGAAGAAAAATTAGCTTGATGTTCAAAAATGTGTATTTAGCATAGTATTTTAGGTACCAGTTTATAGAAATGCCAAGCTTTACAATAATCAGTGAAGCAGCAGCTAAAGAGCTCTCAGGGTTGATAACAAATACCTAATTTTCACCTTTTCACCTAATTCAGGTGGTACTAAATCAATGTTATTGCCACTTGCCCTCCACTCAGTGGCCTGAAATATCAGTTGGTAGCCCTTCTGTGAGCAGACGCCTCCGAACCAGGCTACCTGGAGTTCTGAGCCCAGTTTGGAAACCTATAGCCACAGTGAGAAGATACATCAATTGATAAATGCTAATAAACCCACTAGTTTGGAAATTTCCACTTTGGGTTAGTGAGACCATTTTCTGTCCTGTTAAACTAAACCCCAAATCAATGCAACTCTTGCCCAAGAATCTGTAGCATTTACTGTTCAATTTGTCAGAACTTTTCCAGGTTTTATCCTGTGCTCTTTTCATTTATGCAGCCATCAGAAGCTGTTGAATTTATTAAAAAGAAATTGAAAGATTTTATTCTAATAATGGACAGTTTGATCCTATATTCTTTTCTACCGTGATGATGGATGCCTATATGTTATTTCAAGGTTATTTATTTTAGTAGCATAGAAATGAGTATCCTTAAAGCACTCCTATTTTCTTTAGTGGTCCCAGTGGAACATCTGTGCCTATTGGCAAATGGCCAGTCTTATAAATCTCACAAGGGTGTGTTAAAATAACGTTTCTTCTAAAGATGTTAACATCTCCATAGGCTAACTCATTTGTCATATAACTAAACCCATTATAAAGAACAGCAGTTTCCTAAAAGTAGACGTCTGGATAAATTCATAGACTTGATTAATTGTAGGCAGTTTTCTTGGTGTGCATACTGTGAATTTGGGGTTGCCTTGCATTTAATTTCTTCAGGTGATCTCAGTTCAACAAGAGAAATGTTGACTGAACCTAACCTGTAGGTTACTTGAGCATCAGGAATGTCAACATAGCCTCATGTATGAACGTTTCCATTTTGTCATTGTAGAGATTTCAATTTGGTAGGCAATATAAGCTTAGAAATTCTTTCCAAGAAATAGCATTGATCTCAGTAAAGCCCAACTTGTTTATTTAGGGGGCCACAGAAACGACTCTTCAGTATTGAGACAATTACAGACCAGATTGTTTTCTATTACAGAAAATCTCATATTCATCTAATTGGGTTATGTATACCACCATTTATACTACCATAGAATGTAGCCCCAAAATATCATTTTTTAGGAGGCAAAGAAAGAACACTTTTTAAATAGACTGTTTTCCTCTAATGCCATCTTTTTGGCAAGAGTTAAGCCATATAAATCTAATTAGTTTCAGTCTGGTATAAAAGCTGATGAGATCAACTGTAGTCTGATAAAAAAACATTTCAGAAACACAGCCTATAGTCAAATTAGTTCTACTGGGAGTAATGAATCCTATGATGGGTTTCCTAAAATGGTAGTCTCATACCCTCTCTCATAGTTAAAACCAGGAAACTTGAAATGCCACCCATTCATCATCTCTGTTTTTTCTTCAATAGATTTTGTCTCATTAGTCGAGTGGGGCAGGAGTGCCTCTGCTACGTTTTCAGTATCCTCTTCCCTTCCTAATGTGCTCTGTACTTTTGGAACAACGTGGGTAAACTTCCTCCCCTCTGAAGCATTTTGTTGTCTCAGACACCCATCCTGTCTTAGATGGCGTCAGAATCACTGTCTCATTCACTCGTTTCAGACAGTCTCCAGAAGGGAGCCACGCTGCTAATGGCTCCTATATTGTATTCCAGGCGACAGGTTGAGTGGGAGCCTGCCAGCAATTTGATTGAAGGGGTTTGTTTGACACTTCAGAGGCAGCCAATCATATCCTTCCTGCCTCACCTTAGGTCACTGATCAATGTCTGTGTCAATCTGGTGAGTAGCCAAGTGGCAATCTTATGAAACTTTACAAAATTTAACTCTGCTATTGATTTCTCTGAATTGAAGATTTACAGGTCAACCTATCTACCTACACACCTACCCATGAAAACAGACGGCTCAGGTGACACTGAAAATAGTGAGGTACATTTCAAGGTAGTGTGTGGGGAGATCAAGGGGCCCGTCCCTCTACAGATGGGATTTTGGTGTGCTGCTTCCCACGCACTACTTTGACAATTGACCTCTTCAAGTTGCGCTGAGAGTTGAGGGCTGCCAGTTGGAGAGTGGGGTGGCGGGAGACTGCACAATTGGCTAGAAGTTGAAGTAGTCTGGGGTGGGGGAGATTAAAATGCAAAGAGGATTTTTTTTTCTTTCTTAGTGAAAAATCACATTATGGGTTGGCCAGTCTAGGATTTACATGAAAACAAAAAATTTTTTATCAGTTACGTAATATCTAGAGTCTGGTCCTGACAAGGTTTTGTACAATGTGGAAACCGTGGTAGAGCATTTCATTGAATAGAATCTGCTGCTTAGCTAATTGAGCAATAAATCTGTAGCTGGAATGCCTAGCACAAGTAGAGCTCTTGCCATCATCATCGTTGTCAGTATTTGCTCCATCAAAGAATGTTGATTGCATTCCTTTGAGTCCGCAAGTAAGTATGTCCAGTCTCCTGCTTAGAACAATTTTGGGTTCATCTCTCATTATTTACATAGTTAGTTATGAGCAACATTCTACAAAACCTTGGCTGAATCCAGGGTAATCGTTTGATCTGACTCCAGACATTACATGCCTTCAAAAGAAGGCAACACGAACAGATTGAAAGTAACATGCCCAACCTTCAAATTTTTTATTATCATTATCATTATTTTTATTATTATTGACTGAGACTCCCTTACTACAGTTGCATGAAATTGCAATAGTCAAGGCTGGTCATGTGCTCTGTTTGTATTTCAGGTGATGGGAGTGGTAGGACCCTCCAGTGTTGCTGATGGATTACCCCTTCTTCATCTCAGCCCTTATCTCTCACCACCTCTGCCCTTCAGCACAGCTGTTGTCCGGCTTGTAGCATTGCAGATACAGGTGTGACTGCCTTACCTGTTTGTCACGCTCATTACGTTGCTGGTTGAGGCACCTGATCATGGTGTTCTCTTTTATTTTTCTGCAAAGGCTGGGCAAAATCTGTGAAACAGAAGTGTAAACATCTCCAGACTTTTACAGTTTTGGAGCTTCAGCCCTGAGCTTGGTCCTAAAGTTGTGCTTCTGTAATTCTTCTTGAGATCTCAAAAATAGCAGAGTCATTTAGTCCTGCCACAACCTCAGGAGCCGCTTCCGTCGTTGAAAACGTGTGTCAGTACCTTAGGAAAATAATGGTTCACAGATAATCAGCTCACAATTGTTAATTAAAAGAGGCAGTAATGTTCAAAGTCCGGTTTTAAATTATTTGCAGAAAGAATTGCAGTAAAAAAAATTCAAATATTATTACTAGACTTTGAATATCTTAATTTTCTTTAATGGTTGTGGGCTGAATATTGCGGGTGCTTTTTTTTAATCATTTTTCTCCCACTTCTTTTATTTCCTAAAATTAAAATAATCATTCCCAAAGCAAAAAAGTATAGAATGCCAATTTCCCTGCCTATTTCTGTGTGTCACCTAACTTTAAAGAGTGAGAAATCACCAGAAAGCTTTCTGACCAATGGGAAGTATAGAATGGCTATAAATGGATAACCGACCCATCCATTATCTGACAACCAAGCTTGATGGTCCATCATCCAGAGAATGGTTAGATGATGGAAAAGAGATTAAGCAAGCGCTGTGGCTACCAGGCAGAAGGGAAATAAAGACATCCCTAAAGTGATACATTTTGACAACACGTATACAGAGATCATTTATTTCTTTTTATATTGTCTGTTGCTTTCTGGCTTGAAGAAGGTCTTATACAGGGGAGAGGATTTTTAAATAACTCCCCAATGGAGCAGGTGGCAAGTTCTCCTTTTCTTTGGTCACTATGATATTTATTGGTGGACACATGGATAAAATGAATGGGGAAGTGCGGTTGTTTTGTACCAGACTATACGTGTCATGATTTTTCATTTGATATTCAAGATGTTGCTGTTTCTTAGGTATATAGCTCTCCATTATGTCAAACAAATGGTAAAGTATCGGTTTGGGGTGAATCTTGGACGCTGCACAGATGACAGTTGAACTCCTAGTTTGCAGGTGCAGCCATCAGGGAGTCCCCGTCTCCTCCATGCTGTGTAAAAACAAACAGACTGAATGGGTGAGGGGGTCCATTAATCTTTTTTTCTATTATTGCTGCACAGGCTTTAAAAGAAGATTTTCCTTTAAGTCATGTGATCTCCCCATTCACCAATCAAGAGCGAAGGGAGGGGATGCTTTTAAATCTGCTCATCCCATTTGTGCTCACAGTAGGATCTGGAAGCAAAGGTCTGATTAATTTAACTAAAGGAAACTTATCATTGTTGTTGTGTTTTCTTAAGTGTCAGGCTGTTATTTCTTCCTTTTCCCATGAAGGCCGTCACTGAAGTTGAGCTGAATGATTTAAACAAGGGTATCTTAGGAAATAAGAGTTTTTCTTTCTTTTCAGTTTAGCTGCCCTTGGTCAAGACTGTCTCTGCTCCACTTAGAAGATACATCCTATTTAAAAGCATTTCAGTGCAGCAAAAATCAGGAGAGCATTGTTTCAATTAAGAAAATGGTATTAACTGAAGTACAGGATGATGTGAATTGACAGAGAATGGACTGGATAACCTACTGACACTAGGTTTAGTGTAAATCCTGCCACTGTCACTAAATTCCAATATGTTTTCATTACTCTTACTTCTTGGGGGATTTTTTCTTTTAGGAAAAGTTTATCTCAAACATAAAGACAGTGCATTATGAGTATTTGAGCAGAAAAAAATAAACAGAAAAGAGATTGAAATGGTAAGCGGGAGATTTGGCTAAGAGCAGGGACCATTGGGTGCTGACTACGGAGGAGACACCCAGTACCAGGAGCGCTGCTTCTGTCCATAGGAGAAGCTGTACTTGGTGGGGAAGGCACTCGAATTTCTAGGGTGTTCTAGTTTGGAATTGGAGAAAGAGCTGAATTTTTCTGTGTCTAACGTGGAAAGTCTACCTTGTGACTTGCTTTTCTTTCCACTTCCTCCTTACAAACTCTGCCCGGCAGATAGCCCATGGCTGGAGCAGCCTGAGGTGCAGCTGCTACTGCAGACAGTCATTAATGTGCTCCTGCCTCCACGGATCATCAGCACGTCCAGAAGCAAGAGCTTCATGTTGGAGAGCTCCCCCGCTCACTGCTCCACCCCCGGGGATGCAGGCAAAGACCTGCGCAGGGAAGGGCTGGCAGAGTCCACCAGCCAAGCAGCATACTTGGGTGGGTACTTCTCTCTAGATAGGTAGGTAGGTAGATAGATAGATAGATAGATAGAGAAATAGAGAAATAGAAAGATATAGATATATGCACACATATGTATATGTATACATGTATATATGTATATACATATTTACTTATTTAGTTATGTTCCACCTTGACTCAAAAAGTATTTTATTTTTATTTTTTTTACATCTTTATTGGAGTATAGTTGCTTTACAATGGTGTGTTCGTTTCTGCTTTATAACAAAGTGAATCAGCCATACATATACATATGTCCCCATATCTCCTCCCTCTTGCGTCTCCCTCCCTCCCACCCTCCCTATCCCACTCCTGTAGGTGGTCACAAAGCACTGAGCTGATCTCCGTGTGCTATGCGGCTGCTTCCCACTAGCTATCTGTTTTATGTTTGGTAGTGTATATATGTCCATGCCACTCTCTCGCTTTGTCACAGCTTACCCTTCCCCCTCCCCATGTCCTCAAGTCCATGCTCTACAAAAAGTATTTTAAAAGACCTCAATCCAGAAAGTATTTAGAGAAGCCACTTCAGCACGTACAAAGCATCACCCTTGACTTCTACCTTCCCATTACCCTGTCCCTGCTGTGACTGGGTGGAGTACTAATAAGTATTCGACCATTCCATGTGACCCATGGAATACTAACAGCTACTCCTTGACTAGAATGAACTAAGCTGGGGAGAAATGACCACTGTTGCCACAGCACTGAGACTAAGGAGTACTGGCAACAGAAAATCTCAAAAGGAGGAAGCTGAAAAAAATCTTGCCTGACATTTTTCAATTCACCAAAGCAGACCTTGGTGGGGAGTATAAGATGAAAGCAGACACAATGGTAAAAACAGGTTCTTCAGGTCCTTGGAGTTTGGAGTGTGTGTGTGTGTGTGTGTGTGTGTGTGTGTGTGTGTGTGGCGGGGGGATGTTTGGACTGCATTACTGAGGAATGTATTTCAAAATGATGTGATTGACAATGAGAATAAAAAAGGAAAAAAAGAAACAAGGCTGCATGTGCATAGGACTTGCCCGTGTGGGGCATGGTGGCCAGAGACGTGAGGTTGTAGGGTTCAGATAAAATCTAGATTCTGACACAGAGCCCTGCATGAGGTTTAGGACTGTACAGAGGATGCTGGGAAAAGAGACCTTAGCATGTAAGACAGGGATAGGAGAAAACACTTAACGGGTAACTATCTTCAGTTCTCTCCACTTTCTGCCTTTTCTTAAAAACTGAAGTAGAGTTGATTTACAGTGTTGTGTTAGTTTCAAGTGTGTAGCAAAGTTATTCAATCATACATACATACATAACTTTTTTTTCAGATTCTTTTCCCTTATAGGTTATTACAAAATATTGAATATAGTTCTTTGTGCTGTACAGTAGGTCCTTCCTTGTTATCTATTTTATGTATAGTAATTTGTATAGGTTAATCCCAAACTCCTAATTCATCCCTCCCCCCTTCCCCTCTGGTAACCATAAGTTTATTTTCTATGTCTTTGGGTCTATCTGTTTTGTATATAAGTTTATTTGTATCATTTTTTTAGGTTCCACACATATAAGTGATATCATATGATATTTGTCTTTCTCTGACTTACTTCACGTAGTATGATATTCTCTAGGTCCATCCATGCTGCAGCAAATGGCATTATTTCATTCTCTTTATGGCTGAGTAATATTCCATTGTATAAATATATCTCATCTTTACCCATTCATCTGTCGATGGACATTTAGGCTGCTTCCGTGTCTTGGCTATTATAAATAGTGCTGCTATGAACATTGGGGTGCATGTATCTTTTCGAATTATGGTTTTCTCCAGATGTATGTCCAGGAGTGGGATTGCAGGATCATATGGTAGCTCTATTTTTAGTTTTTTAAGGAAGCTCTGTACTGTTCTCCATAGTGGCTGTACCGGCTAACATTCCCACCAACAATGTAGGAGGGTTCCTTTTTTTCCACACCCTCTCCAGCATTTATTTGTAGACTTTTTGATGATAGTCATTCCAACTGGTGTGAGGTGACACCTCGTAGTTTTGATTTGCATTTCGCTAATTAGCGATGTTGAGCATCTTTTCATGTACCTTTTGGTCATCTGTATGTCTTCTTTGGAGAAATGTCTATTTAGATCTTCTGCCCATTTTTTGATGGGGTGTTTTTTTTTTTTTTTTCTATTTTCTGCTTTTTTAATGAAGGTGAATCCTTTGGTTACTTGGCCAGGCTACTGGACCTCTATTTTAAATTTATTTTTACCTTTATTCTGAGCATTTAGTGTGCACTAACGAGTGTTTTCTATACTTTACATTATCGTCACTTTGAATCCTCACAACAACTCCAAGAAGTACATATTCTCACTTTAGGAAGGAAGAGGCTAAGCCCCAGAAAGGTTGAATAACTTACCTAAAGTCACACTGTCAATAAGTAGCAGAGCCAAATTTCAGATCGAATCCCTCCAGCACCAGAATCCCTGAGCCCTTTGCTATCCTGTCTGTGTGTTGGGCTGTTGCTGGTGAAGGTGGAAAGCAGAAAGGCAGAAGCCCAAAGAAGGCCAACAGGCACATAACAGGTAGAAATGTCACCAGGATCAGGGTAGGGTTAGAGGAGTGTTGCTTTTTGTTCATATGTTTGTTATGATGAGGGAGAGGAATAGGGGTGAGTAGATGCGGAAGGAAGAATCTTACATCTCTCTCTGTGTTATATGACCTGGTTTTCCCCTGGAAGTGCCCTAAATAGACGGTAAAGGTGTAGGTGACTCCTGAGGGCTTTAGGGAATTGGATTTCTATGTGTCTTCTAGATGCTGAGATGGGCCTTAAGACGTGATGAAGAAGGCCCAGGTTCCCTTGACTGACCCATGGGAGACCCTGTGGGGAGAGCCAGGTGGTAGAGGAAGCCCTCACCATAATCTCTGATGTTTTTACAATATTCTGGTTTGTCCTGACACACTGTTTGGGAAATCTGATTCCTGAAAATAAATTTTAAAATGTAGATTGTGACAAGGCTGCCAGAATCTGGAAGAAAAGAGATATTGTTCAAGAAATCCAATACGGTTTAGCAAGAGACATCGTGAGAGGTGGAGGAGGGAAGATAGTGTTTTCTTTTCTGGAAGGATTTACTGGTTACTCTGGGGAAAAGTTTAGGATGGAATCAGGAAGGGAGTAGGAAGGGGAAGGACTACTTTTTTAAACTTTATGCATTTCTGCACGGTCTTGATTTTGCTTTTATTAGCAAGAATATATTATCTCTGAGCTTAAAAGAAAAATATTTTAAAACACCCATGTTTTAGTTTCAGATGTGAGTAATACGCTGATATTACCATGAAGCCACTATGACAAAACTCTTAGAAGCATTAGCCACACATCATGTTTATACCACATTTCCCTTTCCATTCTGTGAAGAGCTTTGGTCTGTATTTTCCAAAATAGTAGTTAAATGCACTTAAGAAAGATATATGTGTTCTCTTAATCAGAATCAAAGCATGTTTACCATAGAAATTTCTGTCTTGATGTCAGAACACTGTCAGTCAGGAGTACGCTCAAGTCTTTCGAAACATAGAGTTTAGACATTTAGAAATTAGATGCGTAAAAAGGCTGTGGATGTGGGCAGCTGGATGTGGGCAGGGTTCCTCCGAAGCACAGGTCTGCAGGCTCACTTGTGTCTTTTCCTGGTGTGAAGCGCTGAAGGTGATTCTCGTCTGCTTTGAGAGGCAGCTCGGCAGCCAGTGGTACTGGCTGAGCCTCCAGGTGAAGGAGATGGCCCTGAGGAAGGTCGGCGGCCTGGCCCTGTGGGACTTCCTCGACTTCATCGTGCGGACCCGCATCCCCATCTTCGTGCTCTTGCGCCCTTTCATCCAGTGCAAGGTGTGCTTCTCCTCCAGGAAGTGACAAGCCCCGCGAATGTGCTGCTTTCCAGAGCAGGGCAGGATGACAGCAGCAGTCTCGGGGCATGTGCTATATAGCTAGTCAGGAGGACGCGTTAATACCATGCTTGACGAGAAATCAGCCCAAACAGGTATCCCTGAGGATAAAATTTCATGTTAGAAGTACCTTCACAGTAAGAGCTTAATTAACGTCGGTGAAACTTTGCCCTCTCCCCATTTACCAACCACCCCCCCCCCCCCAAGAAACAAAGATTGACTGGATAAAAAAGATCTGAAGAATGGTCTCTTGTCTTCAGGGGCATGACTGAGATCTGATTTTAAATAAACATGGGGAAAAATGAGATAGTTAAGGCATGTTTTTCCTCTGAGACCCTCAGTATTCATCTGCTCTTTTATTCTTTTCGTGCCTCGATTTCCGGGCGCTGTGATTCAAAACAACATATTGATTAAGCACTTCCTAAGCACTGTTCTAAGAACTTTGTATGCGTTACCTTATTTAAGCTTCGCCACCAACTATGAAATAGATACAATAATTAGCTCATTTTACAGATGAGAAAATTGAGGACCTGAGAATCTATGCCTTCCTTTCAGCTTCTGGCCCAACCAGCAGAGAACCACGAAGAGCTTTCTGCCCGACAACATATCGCTGACCAGCTGGAACGGCGTTTCATTCCACGCCCTCTGTGTAAGAGCTCCCTCATTGCTGAGTTCAACAGTGAACTAAAAATTCTAAAAGAGGCAGTTCACAGTGGATCAGGTAAGTATGCAAGGGGTATTTTCAATTTGTTTTACTCGTGGAACTTACAACCTACAAAAAATGCCTCTTTTTCCAGGTCACTGCTCTTTTTGGAGCCAAGTATGCATTAGCCATTTCGGTACAACTGGTAGATTTGACCCTGTGATCCTTGTCAACAACAAAACAAATCCAGGGGGATGTCATAAGAGTTTCATTGTATTCCTTTTCTGAATATTTTATTTTCAATCTTTATTTCAGTAGTTCGGCTTTTTCTAGAATATTTACCTAGGGGGGAAAACCTATTTTAATTCTTACCTTCATTTCCGTTTTGAAAAGGAAGAGGGAACTCATTCATTGAGTGTCTGTTATATGATAGATTATTTCATAGCTGTTATTTAATCCACACAAATACCTGCAAGATGCATAACTGAAAGTCTGCTTATAGAATGAAGAAACTGAGACTCAATAGAGGTTAAATAACTTACACACAAAGACAGTGACACCAGTGAGGGGACTTAAAACTGGGTCTGTATGATTGATGATAAAATTCACAAATTGGAGGGAGAGAGGGTTGAATAAAAACCGGCAGGCTAGTTTACATTATCCAAAAGATTTTCTTTGGGAATGTATTGTTTACTTTTATAATTATATTAATTGCAGGTCACCAAGGAAGGAAAATAAATCATTATCTGCCATTAGAGGGCAGTCATTACCCATAAGTAGAAGACTGTCATCCATGTGGCTTTTTTTTTCCTTTCTAAAACTTTTAGGGTTGTTCTCAATGTATTAAAGACCAGAAAACTGACAAATACAATCTTGGTGAAATCTACTCAGGGCCATTCAAATGTTCTGCTTTATAATAAAATAATATAACATAGAACCAAGGGGGTGTTTTATAAATTGTAATCTCCAGAAAAGGGGAATAAGAACACAGTTTTAATTATGTATTCTAATTTTGGTTGTAAGGTTCCTTTCAGACAATGTATTTATTACTTCTATATGCTTGGGTCAGGTAACGTACATTTCTCAGTGAAAAAATGAATTTGCATTCTGCCAGCCTTGGAAAATAAAACTGAAAAACAATGACAGAGGGAGCAACATCAAAACATTTTATATTGTTAGAGATATTCTGTTCCCCCAAGAAAATTATTCAATTATAAGTACATCAGTGGCCAATTCTCTCTTTTTTTTTTTCTTCCCACCATTTTCAGTTCCATTTGCTACTTTGTCCTAAAGATCATCTATCTGGGACATACTATTTGAATGACCTTTCCTTAAAAAAATATAAGTTGTCTGGGAGGAGCTTGAAGCTAGCATTTGTTTTCTTTCAAGATCCTCACCATGGATTTTCTTTGGTCTCTCAACCCCACTAGCCTACCAAGGGAAGACATCCATCAGCACCGTGGGTACCTCCACCTCTGCTTACCGCCTGAGCCTGGCCACCATGTCACGCTCCAACACAGGCACCGGCACAGTCTGGGAGCAGGACAGTGAGCCGTCCCAGCAGGCTTCACAGGACACCCTGAGTCGAACTGATGAGGAAGATGAGGAAAGTAGGTCACCCTGCAGAATCTGGGGTGGTGGGAGGTGGGAGGTCATGTGTGACACAGCTTGGCCATGTGCATGAGGGCTTGGGAAGGATTTCTACCTTCCTGACCTTTCTCAGTTCTGATCCTCTGGTCGTTTTTACAAAAAGGATTTAAAATGGAATTGTGACTGATCCCATGACTTCCAATGCCTGCTTTTCTATAAATTCCTTGATATCCTTGGTCATTTGGTAGGAGTTCAGGCAAAAAGTAAATCTTTTTTTTTTTTTACATCTTTATTGGAGTATAATTGCTTTACAATGGTGTGTTAGTTTCTGCTTTATAACAAAGTGAATCAGTTATACATATACATATGTCCCCATATCTCTTCCCTCTTGCATCTCCCTCCCTCCCACCCTCCCTATCCCACCCCTCTAGGTGGTCACAAAGCACCGAGCTGATCTCCCTGTGCTATGCGGCTGCTTCCCACTAGCTATCTACCTTACGTTTGGTAGTGTATATATGTCCATGCCTCTCTCTCGCTTTGTCACAGCTTACACTTCCCCCTCCCCATATCCTCAAGTCCATTCTCTAGTAGGTCTGTGTCTTTATTCCTGTCCTACAAAAAGTAAATCTTTAGTGACCCCTAAGTTTTCTTTGAGCTTATGTATTCAACCTTTTCACTAACTCATTTAAATTGTAGTTAAGTAACGAAGGGGAGTGTTTATTCCCCTTTCTCCTGGCCATCTTGCTTAGAAGGTCAGTCAGTACTTACATGACCCGATTGGGCAAGGAAAAGTGAGCACTGCATATGCTTATGACTCAGAAAAGACCAGCCAGCTATATTATCTAGAGTGTAAAGCAGCAGACTGTCTCGAGGGCATACAACCCAATTTGAGTTAAGAGCGTCCCCAGTAACTGAGGCAGCCAGGAGCTTCTAAAGATTTGGTGAAATGAGGGAAAATCCAGTTAAGAACACGCTTCCATATATATGCATAATAGTTTTAAAAAGTAAAAGGTGAAAGGTTTCATAAATACCCCTGTCATTTAATGTTTTTTTAACTGTATCGATTATTTTCCAGTTGTGTTTCAAAGACACTCTGATACAACATTTAGAGCAAAGTGTACTGTCAATGCCTTATGAAAACAAAATCTAGATCTTCACTCAGAGCCCCTCTGTACCAAACAACAACAAAAAGCCGCACTCTGGGACTTCCCTGGTGGCGCAGTGGTTAAGAATCCGCCTGCCAATGCAGGGGACACAGGTTCGAGCCCAGGTCGGGGAAAATCTCACATGCCGTGGAGCAACTAAGCCCGTGTGCCACAACAACTGAGCCTGTGCTCTAGAGCCCGCGAGCCACAACTACCGAGCCTACGTGCTGCAACTACCGAACCCCGTGTGCCTAGAGCCCGTGCTCCGCAACAAGAGAAGCCACTGCAAGGAGAAGCCCGCACACTGCAACAAAAGTAACCCCTGCTCACCGCAACCAGAAAAAACCCGTGTGCAGCAATGAAGACCCAACGCAGCCAAAAATAAATAATTTTTTTTAAAAAGCTGCACTCTGAACCAAATTAAATAGAGTTGAGGTTAGAATTTTAATTAAGATGAATGAAAGTATTTTAATACCCTACTACAGTTGGATGTGTAGGAGAAGGAAAGAAATAACTGCTCTGTCAAAGCACGCATCAGTGGACTTCCCTGGTGGTGCAGTGGTTAAGAATCTGCCTGCCAGTGCAGGGGACACGGGTTCGAGCCCTGGTCCTGGAAGATCCCACATGCCGCCGAGCAACTAAGCCCGTGTGCCACAACTACTGAGCCTGTGAACCACAACTACTGAGCCCAAGTGCCACAACTACTGAAGCCCACATGCCTAGAGCCTGTGCTCTGCAACAAGAGAAGCCACCCGATGAGAAGCCTGCAAATTGCAACAAAGAGTAGCCCCCGCTCGCCGTAACTAGAGAAAAGCCGGTGCGCAGCAACAAAGACCCAGGGCAGCCAAAATTAAAATTTAATTAATTAAAAAAAATTTTTTTAAAAAGCACACCTCAGTAATATTTCCAGATTTAGTTTCAGGGTTAAGTAAATAACAAAGTGATAATCATACTGTTCTGCACCAGACCTACAGACATATTTGTTTTGAAATCATTGCTCATGGAAATAATCCTAAAATTATAATTAGGGAAATCATGAAAGACCTTGACGAAAAAAAAATAATGAGAGAGATAAGGATCAGCAGTTCGAATATTCAATATAAGTCCTAGTAATAGTCCAGAACTTAAAGTAATATCTATTTTTCTTTAATGGTTGAAGTAGTCTCTCCCAGAAAATTTTTAAATATGGCAAACGATAACAACCTCTCTTTAATAAAGCTACATATATTTTGCAAGTAACCTTATGAATTAGAGGATGACCAAGCCAGTAGGAAGGAAGTAGAGAAGAAAAGTAGAGAAGACATAAACAGAGATAGCAATGACCAAAGGCCAACACTCATACACTTACAAGTATGCAAGTTTTTGCTAATATCTCTGCTCTCAAACATCACAACCATCCAATGACAACAGGGTTGCTAACACACAATGTGGTGTGATTGTGATGTGGGTGTGTATTAATTTATAAGGTGGGGTATGAAAGCTAGAGGGTTGACACCTTTGAATTAAACATTTTTTCCATTCAATCATCAAACCTGTATTAGGACCTAGCAGGAACAAGATGAGGAATAAGAAAGTATGAGAAAGATATATTCTCTGCTCTCTAAAATCTTAGATATAGTCTTGTAGAGGAGATGACAGACATTTTTGATAAAGAACACTTAACAAAAGTGTAAATGAGGGACTTCCCTGGTGGTCCAGTGGTTAGGACTTCGCCTTCCAATGCAGGGGATGTGGGTTCAATCCCTGGTCGGGGAGCTAAGATCCCACATGCCTCACGGCCAAAAAAACCAAAACATAAAACAGAAGCAATATTGTAACAAATTCAATAAAGACTTTAAAAATGATCCACATCAAAAAAGTCTTTAAAAAAAAAAAAGAGTGAATCACACAGCACATGATTAATCACCAAACAAATATTGAAGGAGTAAGTGTTAAGTGATAATGAGTTTGGATAAGAGAGAAAAAAGTCAATGGAATTTCAGAAAGGTCTTAGTAGAAATAGCTCAATCTACCCTACCACATTTTTTTCATGTTTTTAGGACACATTTGATTATTCTCTTCTCTATGAACACATCTAAAAAGGAAATACCATTCTATAACAAGAATCCACTTCAAGTCAGTTATATAGCAAATTAAAATTTTTAGCACCTTTCGTATTCACCTCTTTGGTTTGAAATAAATTTCACTAGAAATATGACCACTTGGGATATTTTAAATAAATGATGTCAGACAACCTTACATGGTAGCATAAGTTCACCAAAATTCTATGTCAGTCAAGATGTGTTTTCTGTTCAGTTACAAACAATATTTGCTCACTGAGAATGAGGTCTCCTTGTCACAAATTATTGTGCTAAAGTTATTTTCATATGGATTTGAATACATTAATTTCAGCTTCTATGGAGAAAGCAAGACTGCTTCAAACTTTAAATTTAGGTTAAAATAAGCACTTGTTTCTGAACTTTATAGGTTTTTAAATATTTTTCCAATAAATACCTGAAATAGTCTTTCCCTCAGCAGTCTAAAAATCATGAAATGTACTGAATGTAGTGTTTGAATTTCAAAAATGCTTCATTTGTTCAATAACAAAGTCCCTTACTGAACTATTTCTGGAATGTTTAAAAATTATAGTCCAGCTTTTCTGAAATCTTTAATTTGCAGATGCCCCTTGATTTTTACAAATAACCTACTTGTAGAAATGGACAAGAAGTTTACATATATTTCAGGAAGGCTGTTTGAGGGTGGGAGATTTGTAGATGGGAAGAATTATCCTTCATCCCTTTGTGCAGATTAAAAACCAAGCCCCCAAAGGTCTTTTTTTTTTTTTCAAGATGGAGATACATTCATGAAGTTTTACTGAAGCTGTTTCCCTCGCCCAAACGAAGTAACCAGTCACTTTAACTCAAAGTTCTGTTCGTATTCTCAAAATGACACTGTTCAGTAACCCTAGAGGCTCAGCTGTTAAAGTCTCTGGTTTTATAAAAATAGCGAAGATGTTTCTTAAGGCCCCAAAGGTCTTAGTTTTGAATCTGCACAAAGGGATGGATGGTAATTTAGCTTTAGATACTGCCCTAAGTTTGCATACAAGCCGAGGATGGAGCCCAAGTACAAAGATGGTCTGGGTTTCCTGGTCCACATCACAGTTTCCTAACACTCCCTTCTCTGGCCCTTTCAGATGACTCTGTCAGCATGCCCAGTGTGGTAAGTGAACAAGAAGCTTACCTCCTGAGTGCCATTGGAAGGAGGCGGTTCTCCAGCCATGTCTCCAGCATGTCTGCACCTCAGGCTGAGGTGGGCATGTTACCCAGCCAAAGGTAAAGAGCCACGGATATGTTATACTCTGCCTTTGGGGGCAAAGGTAGACGTTCTGAAAACTCACTCCTGTTATTCTAAAAAAGGACTAAAGAGAAGCAAACAATCAGTGTTGTTAAGTAGACCATTCAAACAACTTTTCAACGAGGGTTGCACAGGCAACAACTTGCGGAGAGTTTTCTAAGCCAGGCCAGTAGAAGGGATCTCAATTTCTGATCCAAACATTGTTTCTCCTTAAAATTTTTCTATAAACAGATACATGGTCTTCTTCCATGGTCTTCTTTCAGATGACATTCTTGTATTTCAGCTATAACATCAGCTAAGCTAATAATGAGTACCTGGCAAGTGTATAGGACTAGCTTGATATATGTGGTAGTTTAGACTTCTGGTGTATCGTCAGTATTTAGTTGGAGGTAGTGATGCTTAACCAAGCAGAAGAAGACCTATGCCACTATGTGTGATGTTGGGCAGGTCATTTAACAGGAGCCCACTGTTTTCTCCTCTGTGAAATGAGAGGTTAGCTAAAGTTGGTCTTTGAGGTAACTTCTCTACCTAGAGAGTTTTATGTTTCCATAGCTAAACTCTTTAAAACATTTTCTTTGGTGTTCTCTGCCCTCTAAGAATATAGATTTAAAACTTTATATATATAGTTTACCATATATATGGTTATATAGGAAATGATCTGACATAAGAAATAAAACATTATCTACTTCAGAGGCAGTATTTTTACTTCAGAAACTGAATTCTTTAAAAGAATCTGTCTTATGTGTTTTTTATCTAGTTTGTTGTTTATTCTTATTACCTATAGAGTCATTGTGGTATAACTTATACACGGAGAATAAGAACAATCAGGGCACATTCTAATGATCAGATAAAATTAGTTTATGTGCAGAAATAATTACCCTAGATCTATATCCTTTAGCAAATCACTCCTGAACTGTACAGATGAAATAAAATTTGTGAAATAAAGCCAAACTTTGGAGAATATTGAAAAAATAGGGGGAAATGATAAAAGATTAATAAGTAAATTGCATACTTAAAAAGAAAGCATTATTTATGTACTACTGAGTTATTACAAAAATTGCTAGTATATAAGGATTACTGTCATTGTAAGAGATTGCTTTACCTACCATTTGGTAATTTCTCTTTGAAAAGGACGTCTTATAAATAAAATATATGAACAAAATCAGAGCCAAACTATAGAATATCCAAAAAAAGATGTAAAGCCATACAAGCAGTTAATACTGCTAAGTGGTTATTTATGTTTAATTGCTAGAAAAGTGCAAACTTTTATCAAGAATAAACGAAGACTATCTAGCAGTCTGTCTAAAAGTCTAAATTAGGGAATTTTAAGTAAAGAGTTTTTTGGTTATTTACCTAAAATAACTAGGCCATCAATTCCCTTTGTACATATCCATTAAGGAGTTATCTCATTTCTGGGGAGAAAATTTGTTCTATTACGGATATACTAGAAATCCAGAAAAATAATATAGTTAAACCCTCTGGGCTAGGGAAGGTAATTATGTCTCTGTGTGTGAGGGAAAGCCTCTTTCTGGGGATGGTTGCTATTTTTACAGTGTACAATTAGGTGAACAGCAGTTCTCTAGAGGCGGGCACTCCAATTTTCTAAATTGTTTAATTCCATCCATTTTAACAACTATTTATTGAGTGCCTCGTGAGTACTTAGCTCAGTGCCAGGCACTGAAGGAAAGGGAGAGAAAGTATAACACAGTTTCTGTTCACAAATTCCCAAATCAGTGTGATCCAAATAAATCGATAAACTAATTATTCTTTCACCAACCTGACGGGTTTCTTCTTTTGACATTTACAATTCAGTCACTAGAGGATGGAGTGAGGACGTAAATGCGAGTTCCATGTGAATTTTCCAGGGTTATCTTCCTTCCATTTGTTTACTTGCATTTTCACTGCAAAATTAGCAGGTGAAGTCGGGTTCTTTCTTTGCTTTTCTTAATGGCATCAGTTCCAAGAGTTGGGTTGTGGCAGTTCATGGTAAGTGGTTTCTGTGTGATCATGTCATAAGACACAAGAAAGAAGCAGGATCCTAATCGACGAAACATCTGTACATACGATAGGTGAAAAATCATAACCACGCAGCCAGATGGTTACCAAAGGAATGATAGTTTTGTCCTCTACAGATTCGTTCTGCGGTGCGTTCCAGAGCTCCCATGTCCATTCGGAGCTCGTTTTAAGTCCCAACTCTTGACCAATAAATAGATCACTCACTCCTCTGAGAGTCGTATCCACCCAAAGCCCCTCCTCCCCGTTGGCTTGAGTCCTAGGTCTTGACAAACCCAGCACAAGGTGAAATGGTTGACTGTCTCCTTTTCCTTCCTGGTTCTGTTAAATTTATTTATTTATTTTTGGTCCTTGGAAGCAGAAAAATGCATGCTTTTTTTCTTTTTCTTTTATTTGTTTGCATTTTCTTTCCCTAAATGCTTCATCTCCCTACCCCTCCTGCAGTGAACCTAATGTCCTCGATGACTCCCAGGGCCTGGCCGCCGAGGGCAGCCTCTCTAGGTACAGTGTCAACGCTACCTGTGTATTGGTGTCTGTGCTGGGAAACGAGCTGTTCCCTGTCTCCTCTGTCTCTCTGTCTCCTCTCGCCCCGTCTTGACATCGATTTCCATTCCTTGCCCTTTGTTGCTCATAAACACACGAGCCTGGAAGTCAAAGGTGTAGCCTCCTTTATTTTCAGCTTCAGAGCTCAATCAGAGATGGCCTAAAAAGTTAACTTTAAAAAAAAAAAAAAAACTTCCTGGAGTTCTCCTAGGGGCTTATCCCATGGACTGTCTCAGGAGTTTGATATGCAAAATGTTAAATTTATCCCACCTATCATTTTCTCCCCTGCTGATATTCCTTAAGAAACATTTTTTTCAGAAGCCTTTTCATACAACTCCCCATCATTAGGAAGCCTCAGTCCAGACAGGTCTTTCAGCTAATACCGTGGATGATAAGAAAACAGTGATGCTATAATAAGAATACCAATGTCAGTACGATTTATATAATTCCCTCTCTTTGATGCATGCAGCATGACAGGCTATTATAGTAGCTTGTTCAAACAACACTTACATAAAGAATGTCTATCCCACCACGAGGATGACCACCAAATTTGCCATGAAATATCAGACACAAACATTTCTTGGTGAGAGAAGTCTTACGATGCGAACAATGTAATGGCTTAGCTATTGGTTTAAAGCTTCAGAAAGGGGGACTGCACCTTTAACACTCAGTTAAACCACGGCAAACATTCCTAATTTTGTGCTGTTGATTCACACCTCTCAACTAATCCTCATTAGGGGTAATGCTTCTTGTTCTTGCTAAGGGTGCCTTTGTTCCATCTCAAGATAAAATATTCCCTTTCAGGTTTGCATTATATAGTGAGTTGCATCCGTGTTTATTGCTTTATCACAAAGACGAGGAAATGTTGAGAGGCCGTTCCTGTGAAAGGTTGTCCTTTGTTTTCTTTGCATCTTGTTCAGATTTCACATTTTCTTCCACAGTTGAAAATGGGAAATTTATTCCATCATCTGGTGTATCTTTTTTTTAACTGGCCCCGTAATTCATGACATTCATTTGTGTTTGCGAGCCCCTGCCTGGACAGGTCAGTCTCTTATTGGTGGTAAATGTGGAAGTGCTGCAGAGTGCAGGCTTAATTCCATTACCGAGAGCTTTGGGGATGAGGAAGAATGCAGCAGTCCTTAGGGAGGTTTCCCTTCCTTGTTCACAGTGTTGGAAGAGCTCTGAACCAAGCCTAGCACTGTGACCACTGGTTTCAAAGCATTCATTTGTTTAATGCTGAATATTACATACAAGACAGGAGAACCTAGTTAGGAAGATGATTTCAATGTCCTGTTGAGAGTAGAAAGTATTAAAGCAGACTTCCATTGGGCTGACTTTGTCCCGGGCCTTTTCTAATTAGGCCAAATTCTATTCTTGCTGAGTAAAATGCTAGTCTGGGGTTGCTGAGAGAAGGCAGGAGTTTGAGTTGATTTTTATAAATTCTCCCAAGGACTTGGCTCTCTCTGGCAGGCTTAAGGGTTCAAATGACTGATCTGGAGTTGTCTAAACCAATCCAATCTGCTCTGGGTCCAGTGTTGATAGGAACAAACCCAAAGTTCTTGCTATCTGAGGGTGGTTCAGAGCCAAAACTGTAGGTTTTATCTACAGTTGAATTAGTCGCTCATGGGAGAACACTGATGACTGTTTTAGATCATCTGTTGTTGATCTGTTACTCCTGTAACTGGTGTGTTTTAGTTCTGGGCGTCAGTCACCTGGATTCATTTGTGGTCATTAAGAAACCAGAAAATGAGGCACTCACTTTGGATTCTAAATAATTCTGTAAATGCAGAGGCGTTCCAACAGCCGTAGCACGTCCACCTTTGCCATACACTGCAAATCATACCTCTTGAATTCCATCATGTCACCAAGTTCTCTTTGGAGGAGAGGAACTTTGGGCATTTACTAAGAGGTGGGTTTATAAAATAGGATATAGATTTCTTATATTTGGTTTCCAGGCTTTCTTATTTTTGGCATGAAACTTCTTTGTGCTGCAGACTCTTAAAATCCTAAAGAAGCAGTAAGACATTAACAATGTAAGTTACATTTAGCACATACCTGAGCACTCAGGACCTAAAAGACACCCCGAGTAATCCTAAGGAAAACCTGACTCCAAAGCTTAAAGAATATCAGTAAGCAAGCATGCCTAATGGAAAGTAATAAACCCCGTTCCTCCTCACAACCCCACATTTTGATAAACTTTCTGGGGATTGGCTTTTGAAAGAGCACTTGTTTTAGGCAAAATGGGCAAGTTGGTCTGAGGGCTAAATGAGGAAGAGACCAGGATAATAGTATAACCTGATGAATAGGTGGAAACCAATAAAAATTTTGCAGACCTTTAGAAAATTTCTTCTAGGATTTTTCTTGAACCTGTGCTAGCTGGTTTCTTATAAAGATTCATGGCAAGAAGTATAAGCCTGTTAGAATCACTATGCTGAGAAAAAAATGTTGTCTTTTGGAAATGAATAAACTGCAATAATATTTCATGGAAGAATTCTCTTTAAGAGTGTTGCTCTTGGAAGTACAGAAACTTCATTGTAGTTCTTCCCTCCCTGTACCCACCCACAAGTACACACACCATGGACCATATTTTCTCTCCAGAAGTATATAGACATACAAAAAGTTATTCAAGCACTTAGGCCTAGAAGTTTATACTTGAGAGTTAAATTTGGTTTGGACACGTTAGAACATTTTGAAAGGCAGGAACTGACAACCAAATATAGCTTAAAAAAAAAGATTACAACGCTATTTGATTCTGTAAGGGTGATCTTAATTGCAGTGGAAAATAAGAATGTGGCTCAAGTTTGAACAAGATATACAGTCTGGGTGAAACAAAATAAAAATAACCTATCCATCTCATGATCATCCACATTTTCAAAGTATGCAAACTTGGCAAGTGCTCCCAAATTACAAAGAAAAGATGAAAACAAACTTTTTATGTAGCTGAGAATTAATAGCTAAGAAAATGTGTGTTGTGATACCCAGAGAAGTGTACTTTGCCAATGCTAAATCAGTTCTTATAGGATAACTGAGATCCAGATTGTTCCCCCTTTTTATCTGATTCTAGTCTCTAATCTCTAAATTCTGTGGCATTTAAAATGTATCTTCCTAGGGCTTCCCTGGTGGCGCAGTGGTTGAGAGTCCGCCTGCCGATGCAGGGGACACGGGTTCGTGCCCCGGTCCGGGAAGATCCCACATGCCGCGGAGCGGCTGGGCCCGTGAGCCATGGCCGCTGAGCCTGCGCGTCCGGAGCCTGTGCTCCGCAGCGGGAGAGGCCACAACAGTGAGAGGCCCACGTACCGCAAAAAAAATTAAAAATAATATATATATATTTTCTTGGATGTTGTGGAGGCTACGTAAATTTTAAACAATAATCTTTTACTGGGAAAGGGAAGAGGAGGATTTTGTCCACTGTTTATGTCTCTGTCCTCTATAAATGCTTTATGGCTCCTTCAGTGCTGGCTTTATGCATTCCCATCACAAGGCAAGCACTCAGGGAAAATGGCTACGCTGTGTGCTTTGTACTCCCCCTACAGATTTCTCTAACCATATTAAAATCGAAACTAAAAGTACAGATAAAAGCAATGAAAATACAAATTCATTTTCTCTATACTAGTCTCACCCAGTACTTCTACTTAAAATTTTTATTTATGAAATCTATTTCTAGATTGAAATACACTTTTTTGTACTTTGAGATGAGTGATATAAATTTTTGTTGTATTACTGAATGGCCCTTTGTTCCCCTGTCCTTTAAGAAATACCACTAGTTATATATTCCATTAGGAGATACATATGTGTTTATACACTCCAATCCAAGTCTTCATGCTGAAAGAAAAGAGGTCATTTGTGCCAGAATTGTCTTCTAACGTTGTCTAAATTTCCCTAGCTTGTAAATTACTTCCTTGCATTTTGAGGAAGGTGTTTTTGGTTTTTGCAGAAGGTTGAGTCACATCAGTTCTGCCAAGACCCAAGTATATTTACTTCTCTAAAATCCAGATCGTTTGCCATAGTAATGTTGTTTAGTGACTCAAAAATACAAAGGATGATTTTAACTTCCATTTAGAAAGTTTTATTTGCTTTTATACTTATGGTTTTGCCTTTTTATTTGGCAAAACACTGGAAATCAGCCATTCTCAAATTCCCAAGATTAAAATTTTTAGGGAATCAGTTTTCCCCAGAGAGATGCTTCAGGCAAACACCATGGTCTTCTGGTTGATGTTACATTGCACACCTGATGGTCCACACATCACAAATCCTACATGTGACGGAAATACTACATGACATGGGGAGAAAGTAAATTGAGACCACTTTTTATATGCAACTCTAATTTGATATAGACCGGAACTTACTTCTTCTGCATAAGTAACTTCAGTTATTAATTTCTCTGTCTGTTTATTATTAACATATCCTCTTCATGCAGTTAAGCCAGACTTTGATGTTCCAAATATAAACATGTTAGCATCACATTCTCAGGGAGAATATATATATATATATATTAACTGAGCTGTATTTCCAAGGACACATCCTATAATTTAATCATTTATATGTGCATTCCATTGATGAAATACTATATCATTTACATAGAACAGCTAATTACTAAAGCTATAAACTTGATCCATTTCTTAGATATAAGCCTCTCTATCCATAGAGAAAATTTTGATGCTTTTGATCCTCCCTTGGAATAATCATGATGAAATTACCATTGTTTTGACATTTAACACTCCCTGAGCAACGTGTATTTCTTTTCTTGCACCATTTTTTCCCTCACAATCTCAGATTACTGAATAAAATGAGACAAGCGGACTGCCTCTATTTCATTTTCTCTGCCCAAATATTTTTAAGACATTTTATTACCTACTTCCTTCTAGTGGTCTAGAAGCAATAAATTCATTACAAGTGTAAAACCAGGAAGCATACTATGTTACATCACTTTTCATATTCAAATCATTTTACATCAACTAACTTCTTTTCTCTACCTTAATGGGAGGTAGGTGGTAAGTATTAACCTCCCTTTACGGCCAAGGGAACTGAGGTAACATTTAGATGTCAATGAAGAATCCATTCCAGTGAAAGCTTTGCTTGGTATTTGGGAGAAACTTGTTTCTACTTTTGTGCCTATGGTAATTGAATACTCTTTCCAATTTAAGACACGTTAAAATGTATAATTAATCAGGAGATGTCATTTCAAACATGCCAGCAACTTAGTCTGGATTGCTTCTCAGAATTTATTGCACTGTTCCTTTGGGGTAATTTTCCATCTTCATAGAAAGATCATCTATGGTACAAGGCCATATATGTATAAAAAAATAATGTACGTTAATCTTTTGAACTTGATATTCAGGAGAACAAGAAAGTTTAAAAAAACGTCTGTTTTTAAAACTCTTTATGGAATTTTGTATTGTGTATCCCAAATGGTCTAATTACAATATAATTACATGCTTATTTCAGAAGAACTATGATAAACTCCATTTGGGAATCATTGATTCTCTTCTAGTGGAAATATGAGTAAGACTTTTAAAAAATGACACGTGACTGTGTCAACCATGTGATGATTAACTAGTTGTTAATAAAACAGGGGAAACGTCTGATTGTCCATCCTGCCACCTGCATGGAGACTGTATTTAGGTAGCTCATTTTTTTTAAATAGCAATGAATGCATACAGTCTTCTCGTGGACAGTTGCTGACGCTGCATTCCTCTGTGGAATATTTTACTGTCAAAACTCTTTGCAGATGACTCTCCTTTTGCAAAGGCAAAGCAGAAATTAATTACCCATTAACCAAATAATCACATTGGCATCATCTACAGGATTACAGTGTTCTCTGGGGCACGATACATTTCTTTTTTTTCACCTCCACTCCCATTATACATTCCTATTATACACGCATGCAGAATGAAAAATGATCATGCGTCCATGACAGTGTTTTCAGCTTCACCCAACACTAAAATAGGAACCACTGCCAGCAGTCATTTTTGCATATATAAAAGACACACACACAGTAAATTTGGGGGGAGCAGGTTGTTGCTTTTGTAAATTGTGTATTATGTTTGGGTGCAGCTGTTCGATATTAAACTTCTAAGTTGTAATGACAGCTTAATTACTTTGCCAGCCTTTTAAATCTAAAATCATTTTTACAAGACATTTAATTGTCTATCTATGCGACTGTTCGTTTACTCAGTCAGAGAGACTTCAGGCTGCAAACATGTGTTGAATGTGACCCTTCACCCAAATGGATTCTGTGTCTGATGTGTTTGATATTCGTTCATCTTATTTTCATTTAAATTGAAAAATTTTAAAAGGTGTTCCCATCCACGTGATAGAGTTGTACATGTTTGTTCGTCACCACCTTTCTCCTTACCCTTGAAAAAAAAATTGAGATTAGCGTACAACATCTTAAGCCTTTTGGTGGCTTCCAAACCAGGGGTGTGACGTTTTGCTGAATGATAGATCCGGCCTCAGTGATTGAAAACAGAATCTCAATTTTGGCAGCTTGGGGCTACAAGGCCTCGTCTTCCCTCCTAAACCTTTGAAAACTCCCATCCCGGGGATTCTTTCCCAACCTTCCTTCAAAGATAACGGTATCTTTGAAGTGACTCGTATCCTGTAAGTGATTTTGACTCACACCCACCAGACAGTGGTCTTGGGTGCTTGCGCCAGGGCACACTAACACTGCTGATGCTCTCAACAGGGTGGCAAGTGTGCAGAGTGAACCTGGCCAGCAGAACCTCCACACTCAGCAGCCGCTGGGGAGGAAGAGGGGTCTGAGGCAGGTAAGCAGACCCTGGAAGGGCAGGAGAGTCATCCTGCAAAATGCAAGGTCTACTCAGTTTTTAATGCCCATGTATGTTAAGATTATATTTTTACCTTCTCCCCACCTGAAATGAGCAGTACAGAACAACTTTAAAGCATGGTAAGTGCTTGGGCAAGCGGAGAGTTTGGGGCTTCTTCTATTTTTAGCTCCGAATCTTCTTATTAGCAAAGCTGATCACTTGGTAAAATAAGTGGGCCTATATTTTTATTTGCTCCCTATCCAGAAACCTTTGCCAGCCAAACTACTGACAATGGAAGTTCGTTAGAAGGTTGATTTAAGGCCTGTTTCTGTAGGGAGGCAGAGACAGCCATCCTTTCTTCCTCGTTTCAAGATTAATGATTCAATTTAAAACTGAAATCGAAGGAAAGATCATCTTTATACATTTCCCTAGGTGGGGTTCCTTTACGTTACTGTCTAAATAAAAATCCAAATGAGGCTTTGCGCTGTTTCTTTGATGGGAGCGTCCCAGCACTGATTTGGAGACCAGACATTTTCCCAGTGCCTGGGGTGTTTTTCATCAACCTCCCCTTGAGAGTTAGCATATGGTCAGCTACAGCTTTTAGATGAGCAAAGGCTGATTGGTAAGCAATCGTTGTTAGTTTTGTATCCTTAAAGTCACTGATATTCTCACTGTGACTATTGCAAATTATGTTAATGTTCTTAGGATATATAAAGGAGTCATAATCGTAAGATAGAAGTGGCTAAGGGGATGCCAGAATCAAACGCGTACTTGTATTTAAATATGCAGAAAGAAGTTTATTTTATTGGCTATGAATGTTAAGGAACAACCATAAGACTCCACAGAGACCCACCAAGAAGGGAACAAACCATAGTCAGAATCCTCTGAGCTCAGTCTTTCCTCCCAGGCAGTTAGACCCTTCTTGCTAGCTTTCTTCTGCCTGTTCTCTTTAGCTAAGACGTCCTCTACTATCACGTCAGAAGACTCAGACTGAACCCAGAAACCGCCACGGGGCTCGGCTGTCAACCACCCGCAGGAGCATTCAGCCTAAAACGAAGCCATCTGGTGAGGCCTCCTGTGTCCCTTCTGGCTACACATTGACACATTGCCCTGCCACACAGCCAGGAAGGCCTGCAGAGACTGAGCTCATGCAGATAAGCACACCTTTGGGGAGCCACCAGGAAAAGGGACGAAATTTCCCAGGAAACTTGAGTGCCTTTTTTTCGCTCACCTTTCCCAATTCCATCCCTCCCCCTCATGCACCTAGGAAATGGAACAGTCCAAGGTAAACCACAAATGCTATGAAATTTGTTGATAGAAGGTTGTGTTCATTTACCCAAGCCAGGAACTGGGTTTGTCATATGTCTTACTGAAGACAAAGAAATGATGAATAATAGGGACCTTTAAATCTTGTTGGCAGCTGTTATAGCAATGACCAAGTTCACTTAATGATCTGTGCCAATTTTGTTTTTATGTAAAAACTATTTATGTGAAAAGGCTATTAAAAAATTTTTTTTAATAAATTAATTTTTTTATTTATACTATTTATTTTGGGCTGTATTGGGTCTTCGTTGCTGCACACAGGCTTTCTCTAGTTGCGGCGAGCGGGGGCTACTCTTCCTTGCGGTGCGCGGGCTTCTCATTGCAGTGGCTCCTCTTGTTGCGGAGCACGGGCCCTAGGCGTGTGGGCTTCAGTAGTTGTGGCACGCGGGCTCAGTAGTTGTGGCGCATGGGCTTAGTTGCTCCACGGCATGTGGGATCTTCCCGGACCAGGGCTCGAACCCATGTCCCCTACGTTGGCAGGCGGATTCTTGACCGCTGCGCCACCAGGGAAGTCCCTGAAAAGGCTATTTTATGCAATAATGATTTTTATACCCAAGTCCTAGTCTTTGTAAGAAGGTGAAATCAATACATATACATAATAGTCTAATCTGCTCTCATTTACTGATAAACCAGCAATGTCTTTACCAAGAAAAGTCAAGTCAGGAGACACTTGTTAAAACGAATTATTAAGCACTGCCAACCTACTTTCCTCCTATTCTATTTACTGCTCTACTTCTGACCTACAGCGGATCAGAAACGATCTGTGACCTTCATTGAGGCTCAGGCAGAGCCAGCCGGTGCCCCAACAGACATGCTTCCTGCCACAGGCCAGCCACAGGGCTGCGGCCCAGCCCCATCCAGGAAACCAGACGGAATGGACAAACCAGTGCTCACGTCTTCCCCCGCCATTGTTGTTGCTGACCTTCACAGCCTGTCTCCCAAGCAGGTGAGGGCACTGGAGAAACAGGCAAGTCTTGCTCCTTGCATACTTCTGTCTGGGAACCATTGGGATATGCAGATGTAATCCATATAACTTAAGTCTGGGTCTGTAATGTTTTGTTAGACAGACACTGGTCCTGTCATCATGAAAAAAAAAAAAAAACTGTAAAGTATATGGCCAAGAATACATCTACTTAAGAAGGCATAAGAGAAATCTTCATACTCTTTGTTATGAAAACCCTAAGAAGAAATATTTCATAGTTAAAATAACCATTGAAATCCAGTATATGATACATGATTGACAGTTCAATTCAAAAAATATATATAAATAAAGTTACCAATTTAGATGAAACCTTTAAATATAGAACCTTCTGAATCCTGTGGGAGGAACTTTTGTTTTGATCTTTTTCGTCGTTGTTTTGATCTTTTTCGTCGTTGTTTGATATTTTCTTGTTGTTTTAATTTTTTCCCTGCTTTTTTTTTTTAATTTATTTATCTTATTTATTTTTGGTTGTGTTGGGTCTTTTGTTGCTGTGTGGGCTTTCCCTAGTTGCGGTGAGCGGGGGCTACTCTTCATTGCGGTGTGCGGGTTTCTCATTGCGGTGGCTTCTCTTGTTGTGGAGCATGGGCTCTAGGCGTGCATGGGCTTCAGTAGTTGTGGCACACAGGTTCAGTAGTTGTGGTTCATAGGCTCTAGAGAGCAGGCTCAGTAGTTGTGGCACACGGGTTTAGTTGCTCCGCGGCATGTGGGATCTTTCTGGACCAGGGCTCGAACCCATGTTCCCTGCGTTGGCAGGCGGATTCTTAACCACTGCGCCACCAGAGAAGTCCCTTTTTCCCTGCTTTTGATTTTTATCATTAAATTCCCATGGGTCCCACGTTCTTCTCCTGTGGTGTTTAAAGAAAGCTAAGGGGCAATATACTATATATGTTTGTAAAGTCTTTAATGGTTAAAAAGCAGAAACTAACACACCATTGTAAAGCAATTATACTCCAATGAAGATGTAAAAGCAAAAAGCATTGTAATACCATTGTCTCATTTTTATCCTCACAGTCTACAGGATAAGTGGGGCAAAATATTATGCTCATGCAACAGGTTAGAAAACTGAGGCTTAGAAAGTTGGAAGGGCCTATCTGAGGTCTCACGTATACCAAAGGCTAAGACTGGGTCCACCCTTGGGATTCCTTGTCCAGTTACAGCTGTACAACAAACATTCTTTGATCCTTTTCCCTAGTACACATCCTACCTTTCCATGATGTTATGATCCTTTTGGTCACAGGGTGAAAGCCTCCCAGCTGAAGAAGGAGAAAAGGAGGAGGACACAGAAATACAAGGTGCTACAGCACATAGCCCCCTCTCTACTCAACTCTCAGACCCTGATGACTTCACAGGCCTTGAGACATCCATCCTCCTACAGCATGGAGACACTGTCCTTCACATCAGTGAGGAAAATGGCATGGAGAACCCCCTCCTGTCCAGTCAGTTCCCTTTTACTCCCACTGAGCTAGGGGAGACTGAGGTAGACCTAGATGAGTCTCATGTTTAATTCTGTACCTTTTAAGAGTTGTAGGTGTAGACAAGATGTGGAAGGGATCACTTTGCTAAAAGTTGAAAACGTGCTTGGAAAAGATGAAAACATAGCACTTTACACTCAATGGGTAGCACAAATCCCAGTGGATTTTGCTGTCGATGTGCATATTGTTTCATAAACATCTTTTAAAAGTCAATGGCCAAGATGGTTTGGTTGTGTGAAGACCATAAAATCTAGGGAGGAATAAAGGGAAAAAGCCATTTCACTGCACATTGTTTATGATTCAAGAAGCCTTGAGCAGTTGAAAATGTGTACTGTTACAGAGCTGCTTACCTAGGAATATTAACAAATAATGTGTTCTAAAAAGAGAAAGCAATTTTTTGAGGTTACATTATACATCTCATGCAAATGTTTATTTTTCTAATTTCAAAATCATTAAATCAGGTGGCTGTACAAGTAGCAATTTATATAAAAGTAATCAATAAGGAAAATATTAGTTTGGGGAAACTTGATAGCAAATAAGCCTGCAGCCATTTTTTTTTTTTTTGATCAACAATACAGCCATTTAGAAGAAGAAAAAATACTATTTTTAGAGCTGTGGATTTTTCAATATTTATTTTTTAACTGTCCTTTTCATTGCATATTGTAAATCAAAATGCTAATGCCATAAGATCATTCCATTTCATAACACATTAGAGAATATTCTAGAAATTATCAGACATAATTCTGAACTAAGAAGAACCTAAATAGCCTATACTATAATAAAAATTAAATGTAAATATAATAGCTAGAAAGAGATGGTATTCCTACGTCTAGTCCTGACTACATCAATGCCAAGATTGGGAGATTTTGGGAAATGTGATTAACTTTCCCTTACAGTGTCCTGTGCCTGCCCTTGATGGCATATTTTCAGATATTATATTAAGGTTAGTGTTGTTAGAATTGGTTCGATGAAATAACTCTTTCTCAATGTTAACAATATTCATGTCCTTTAGATATTAAGTTTATGGTTCTCTATAGACAGAGCTTGTATATTTTACTTTAACTTGAAGTTCAGTTACTTGAAGAAAAGTATAAAACTTGGCTTGTGAGGCTATATCTAGTGTGTTATTGATCCTATAGCAGGGCTTGGCGTCATGTAGTTCAAGATTAAATTTCAAAACTTTAACAGTTTACATTACAAAACTGTTACATAACTTCTAAGTGTATAAAAACTCATATATATATATATATATATTATATATATATATATATATATATGTAAATTGGTATGGTGGTGAGGGGGTGTGTGTGTTTTCTAGTCCTCAAGCTAAAGTTTAGACTGTGATTACACTGCAATGAATTTGGAACCCATTCTGTACGCTTAAACTTTGACTACATTGGCTATAATATGGTATATGTATATATAAAGGAGACCTACTAAACCCACCCAAATCACAAAGGAAACTTATTTTTCTCTTAGAATTGCTTATTAAACAGGCATTGTTTTTAATGTGATATATACTTTCAAATATAATTTGGGGTTTTGGTCTCATTCACTAATAGAATGAAAGATATCTGTGAGTTAAAGTACAAAACTAAAAATCTCAAATCTAAAACTTCAGAAAGCAGAGGTGGTAAATGGCCTCATCTATGTTTTACAATATTTTCAGGACACTTACACTTAATGCTGAATTCTCAAATGCAGAAATATACATATATAAGTGGTTTTATGATTCTTTCTAAGCTGATATATTTCGCCTGTTAAAAATTATGCTGCTCCCTTAGTGTTAGAGGCCTTATGTTTGGTAATTACAAGTGTCTGTGCTATATGAGTCTCTATGTATGTGCGTGTTTTGTTCCAGTTTCTTGATTCTTGACTCAAATTCTCTATGTATAATCGTATCAAATATTTAAAAAGTAAAAGGGTCAAAGAAGATTGTTAAATATCTGACCAGAATCCTATATACCTTTATATATATATTTAAAAAGTATTGGGATGTTTTGAACATGACTATGCTGGCCTGTCTGCCTTTTACCCTGATTCCTTCACTCTAGTGTTATGGAAGTCTACTGGAAACTTTTTCAATAAGCTAAGCAATGTTGTACCTTGCAAAAAAGCCTCCACTCTGACAAACAGGGCCTTATAGAGTGGGAATGTTTTCATACTGGGACTACGGAGATTTTGCAGATGTGTACATCTGTTCCATTTAAGGTGCCCTTAAATGTGTTGAATGTAATGTGTTAAATGTTTATGTGTAATTGATAAAATATCTATATGTATGTGCATAAGATTGTCACAAGATGTATTCTCAGGAATACTGTTACCTGGAGTTTGAAGGAATAATTATTTATAAAAACAAAAAAAAGTCGAGCAAGATTAGAAAAAGTTCAAGATAAGTAACAATATTTTGTAATTCAAAATATTATTGAGTATATGACTAAAAGTTAATTATTACATATGATAAATATAGTATTGGTAATAGATCATTTATTAAGCTATGATTCTTAATATTTATCTTGTTCAGAGGAAAATTAAAACAGACACCTACTTCCCATGTATAAAAAATTGGTCTCAACCAAGAGGTTGCTTCTTCTGAAATTAACTTTTGAGAGACCTTAGAATAAGCATGTATCATCCACAATAGTGGGTGTAGATTTACTCAGATTCAATTAAAGCAGTTCAAATTCTGGATACAGCATTTTATACAGCAAAACATTTTACTTTCATTTTTCAGTGTTTGCTGCTTTCTGTAATTCTATTAGATAAGTTGTTTTTTTTCCAAAAAGGAAACTGAGTTGTTGAGTGCATTGGGGCAAGGCACTGAGAACTACGGTGTCAAAAGGCATAAATGGGCATAGCAATGCTGGAGGAAAAAAAAAATCTGTGGCATTTCGGGGTCTGACTAGGGCCTGTTGAGTAGGCTGGAAGTAACTGATTTGCTATTTCAAGCCTCCAAGAGTACCTTAGGCAGGATGATATCTCCTCCTTCTTTAGTTATCTGTCCCTCTAGTCAATGAGAAACATTCTCCAGTCTGCTGTCCAGCCCTGAGAGTATCTGAGACAGGAATAGAGTGTATATAGGGACCTACAAGGAAGAAAGGGTCATAAATAGAATGACAGTCCAAAATAGAAATTAAATATCCTTCCTCAAGTTGTACATGAGACTAATAGTCTCCGGAATTTGCTGCTATCACACCGAGTCATGCTGTTGCCCTGTGACCTCACACTTCCAATTCCACGGCCTTGTCTTGGCAGTGAATAGAAAGTCCCACCTCCTCATTTACTTCAGTGGGTCCTAACTGCAGCATTTCAGAAACAAAGTTTGGTTTGACACTCAGGAGAATAAAAACAAGTTTAGGGCAGAATGTATCTGGAAAAACTTAAGACAAATTTTCTTATGTTATTTTAGGATCATTTAGGATTACAGATCAATGTACCTCCATATTTTTCAAAAGTCACTGTGACTGCAGGATGAAAATCCTTTATTAGCCATTTTATAGGTAAAAACAAAAGATTGACTACACAGCCAACGTCCCTCAGATGACTATAAAGTTTGTTATGAATACTGAATGACCAAAGAGCATGGAAAAAATGCATATGAATAAATACTGAAATGTTTATGAAAGATATTTATGAAAGATAAGACTTCTGTGTTTGAATATGCACATATAATAAAATAAATCTAAAAACATTTAAGATGCCTGATTGAGTTTTGTTTCTCATTTTTCAACATAGGGAATAGGTTAACTCATTCAGGAAAGTGTTCATTTTAGATCCCTGGGGTGTGCTTTTGTTTTGGATCCCTGGAGCTCGCCTTGATATCTCTCCTCAACATAGTCCGGCCTGAGGTCACCCTTCAATTGGACACCTCCAATTCCTTCCTCCTATTCCAAATGAGCTCCATTCTACTCATGCTTTCCATCCCTAACTTTCAAAATAAAGCAGAATGGGCATATTGGGAGACAAGTTCCCCAGTGTGACTTCTCTGCCCAGGTATGACCATCTGGAATGACTGGTAGATTTTCCGGGAGGAATGTTAAGGGCCAGGTTATGCACTGAATGTGGCCAGAACCACTATGGGATACACGTTTACCACCAGTTCTTTTATACAAAGTGCTCTATCCTTACCCTCTAAGTTATGTCCTTGCTAAATCCTTTTTTTTTTTTTCTTTCCTCTCCCATGAATTTGTTACCTGAAAAACTGTGTTCCCCTCTTGGTGGGAGTCGAGCCAAAAGACACAACCAAGCCAAAGATCAGGAGAAGGACCTATTACTTGCAGCAAGAAAGGAGAACACGGGGGATCTCTCCCAAAGCAGTGTCTTCCCAACAGCAAAATTGGGTAAGTTTTATGCTAAGGGTACATGCGTATTGATGAAGGGGCTTGGGCTGTGGACAGAGTCCAAGATTTAGTGGATTGAAGTTATGAGGGTCAGAAAAGGTCAACATATCCTCTCTTAAGTTCCTGTTGATCTGGTGGTTGAGGCTTTAGGCTAATCATTTCCATTGAAAAGAACTGGTTGAATTTACAACTGATACACTATCTTCGCTATTGTTACTTCTCTTGCCTGATAACAGGCATTTGTTTCTGCATTCTTTGTCCCCTTAAGATCATTAATTACTACACAAAAGAATCTGAAAAAGAATGCATATATGTATACATACACCCGAATATATAACTATATATATATATATATATAACTGAATCACTTTGCTGTACACCAGGAAGTAACACAACATTGTAAGTCAACTATCCTTCAAAAAAAAAAAAAGACCTTTAGGACAAAATCACTTTCTTCTTTCCTTAACAAAGACATCTCCATAGCTTATACCTTTTCTTACCCCAATACATAGTGTATTTCTATTATTATATCTGGTACCTTTAACCACATATATTACTTAGAATTCTCAATCCTTTGAAATTTTAATTTTTAAATGAAAATAAAGAAGTGAATATTGATCATTGTGAACTGTAAAAAAAAAAAATTAATTACTGAGACCTGTTCAAGGGCAAACATTGTGGCCAGGCTTAGATGACAAAATTGCTTAGGCCCAAAATGCCTTCTCTTATGTCAAGAAAGCCATGCCTGGTTTTCTTTTTCCAGAGACCCCTCCTCCCCCGCCTCATCTGCTTACAGTTTTACTACAGTTATTTTCCCCA